GTGTGCATGAGAAGTGTCGCTTACGCAGAAGCAAACTTTGGTATAACATTCAATTGTATAATATGTTTAATTTGAATCTTGTGGCGTTTTTGAGTATCTTTAACATCAGTATCCGGTCGAAAGTTTTATATTTTCAGGCCTTTAGGTATAACTATAGGAGTAATAGTCTAAGATCTGTATGATATTTCTAGGTCTCCCATTTCCTTCGTTACGTTGACCACGCCTGAAGAGGTTTGTATACTGAATACATATTAAATCGGGAAAGGAATCTTCCCGTTAAGAGACAGGAAGTGAAAGAAAGGTGAGTAGAGAAAGAGAGACTGAGTAGATAGTACGAAGTAAAGGAAGGTAAGATAGTGGGTGCAGCACCCGGGAAGCAGCGAGGGAAAGGCTGGGGGGCGAGAGCCGGGGGGGGACAGACGGCACTTCCAAGACCCCTTATGCCACGTGTGGTGAGTTAATCCCCCGGTCGGAGGAGACCTCCGTTACTAGGTCACCTTTACTTCTTCCTTTCGTTCTTATCTGTCTTCCCTGGATCCCACTACACTATTATCCCATGGCTCCCAAAGTCTTAGAAATGTTTCTGTCGATCCCTTTACTCTTGCTGTCAGGTCGTCCATAATCCTACATTCGCAGATCCTGGATATCACTCCCGGAAACTCAGGTCCGTCTGGTGATAGCCACCCAGTTGCTGTTGTTCGTCGTGCGCTTAGAGTTATTTTATGGACTAGTTTCTGCTCTCTCTTGGTCCATCCGTCTATGGACCTGTTTAATAGGTATACCCACGGATCTCTGGCTAAGGGCCTGTTAAATATTTGTTTCAGTAGGTTTTCTGTTGCTTTCCAAAATCTTAACAATTTTTGGGCATTCCCACCACATGTGAAGGTATGTTCCTCGGGCTCCACAGCCCCTCCAGCAATCATCCGTATCCATTTTGTGCATTTTATATAATTTTACGGGGGTTGCTCACTGTGATTTTCACAGTGAGAAGCGCGGAAGCGCCCCTAGTGGCTTTTTATTATTTATTTATTTGCTCATATCTGTGTACTGTAAAATATATACATAATATAAACATAATGTTATGTATTTATTTTGCAGTGCACGAATTGGCCAATTTCACATCCTTTTGCTTTTTCCCAGAATAATCACATGGATGAAATTTGTCCGAAATGTCACAAAACAAAATACATTTTTGGAGGAACTGATTCACACAGATCACATTTTTCACTGTGCCTAAATCTAAGGTGCCCCTTATGTATTTGTAATTCCGTTCTTGTTCCTTGGTTTAAAAAATCATCCGGATAAAATATTCTCCAGTGCAGCTGGCAGACTTATTTTTTGTGTGGTTCTTTTCAGAACTACAAGAATGAAGATTCTTATTACAGAATTTCTTGATGATTAAAACACTGTTAGACCATAGCTGCTGGCAGCCATTTTGTGACCCATGTAAAAGGAACAAATGTCAGTAGAACAATTCCAGATGGATTGGAGCCACATTAAAGAAAACACAATTACATTTGGCAGTGCCTTGTATTATGAAGTGTGCAGACAAATTGGTTTGTGCTGTTTCAGAAGACAAGCTTTCATAAATCACGCTTCCTTACAATGCCTAGGCAAGTTAAAGGATAGTTATAACTGCATAGGTTAAGATCCGATGGCAGCAAACCAAACCGTCAAATGCCTCAAGGTCATTTAGCAGAGGTGCTCAAAGGGTAGATCGCTGCCTGCTGTAAGGCCAAAAAAGCATAATGGGTATTGTAGTGCTACCTTCTTGGCCAGTTCAGTTATTCTTTGTGTTACTGATAGTGTAGCAGGGTAGTGATTGAATCTCCCTGTTTATACAGAGTTCTTGAGATATTTTGCTGCATTTCATCTCTTTAACATTTAATTGGGTTTCTGTCGCATTTTTGATTTGGGGATACTGTTTATATGTCTGTGTCTAACTGGATTATGCTGGCCACTCGAGTGGTTTTAGTTGCTCCCTATGTAAATGTAGATTCTGCTGTATTACATAAAATATTGCATAAGGTCTGACTTAAGTAAATACTCCTCGGAAAAAAAAGACCACTTAAAAAAAAAATCAAAAAAATCTTTATACGGTAATTTTATAAATTGGGCAGAATTAATTTTATCACAGTAACATTTATTTATATAATTAGGGAAAGTCACACTTTAAAAAAAAAAAAAAAAAAAAATTATGTACTTGGTCGTTTTAACTTTATATGCTCTGATGTATCTATGCATAGACATGGAAATGCATTTGATTAAAACATAACTTGTTTATAATGTTTTTGCCATCTGTTAAGATCGGATGCTCCGCACAAGAATAAGAACGTGTTTTTTTTTTTCTTCTTCATCTTTGACTGCTGTCCAACATTTAGATATTAGGAATTTCAAATGATGCATGCATATAATTTCATAAATTTAATTCCAAGTCATCTGTGCCCACCTAAAACCTATTTTTGCTTTTGGGTCCTGATAAATGGGCAATTATAATAATATAAAATAATCTATATCTATGTCAAAAATATAAAGCAAAGTTATCACACAAACCTTTCCACCCATAGATCATTTGTTCAAGTGTACATGCATTATCCTTTGAATGCTGGCAAATAGTGATGTCCCGAACGGTTCGCCACGGACTCCAGTCAGCAGACACATTCCAGCCAATCAGCAGCAGACCATCCCACCCAGACTCTCCCGCCTCCTGGACAGCATCCATTTTGAAGCTGCATTCTTAGTGAGCTGTCCAGGAGGTGGGAGGGTCTGCTGCTGATTGGCTGGAATGTGTCTGCTGACTGGAGTCCAAGGCGAACCGTTCGGGACATCACTACTGGCAAACTATTTTAATAATAAATTTTTTTATTTTTTCTGTCAGTCTTAAAATAAAAATAAAAAAGAAAGGAGTTAGAATAAATGCACATATAGAAGTAACACAGTTAATATATGTACTCCTAAGCAAACTGTCTCATTTTTTATGTGACATAAACAATCTAAACGAACATGTCTAAATTTCGGACAAAACAGTAATATAAAAATATTTTAATTACTAATCAAGTAAATGAGCTATGTTGCAAGAATACAAGTTGCTTGAAGTTGTGTAAGGTAGTGGACATAGCGACTGCGGTTAATACAGAAACATGCCATACGATCAGATATGCAAGCTCGATAGACATGTAACTAAAATAATAAATGGTTCAGTACCACTGGGCTATTGGGTAACGAGTGAGAGAGACCAATTTAAAAGTAAAATATAGATTCACAGCCAAGAATCACATAACCTCACAGGCAGGTCAGTGCAGCTCTTGAACTAAAAAAAAAATAACCGAAGAAACTCTGCTGTTCAGGTTAATATGTGGCCGTGCAGATCTAGAACTCTAGTCCAGTCAGCCTATTCACACATCTGGGAGGTCCAGCAAGTGGTTGGTTCGGGAGGCATTGGGACAGTGGGAATGATTGGGGGGGAGCTGGGGATAGATGGTGCACTGCCAATAATAGCGGTTGATCTTCTGTCCTTGTGGCTGATGCTTTGGGGTTATGCCCCTTGTGGCCCTGGGGTTGGGCTGGCCAGTAGTAGGTAGGTGATTATGAAAAGGATGATTTCCCAAAAAAAGCTCATTCACTTCCTGGCTCTCACTTCCCCTTCTCCTCCTGAGTCTGAGGTGTTGCAGCTGATTGGGATGCCTCCAAGGCTTCCCAGAAGCAATCGAAGGGGTCACAGTGTAGCCACCACAAGAATTGAGCCGCTGATTGTAGACGGTTCCTAGCAGGCTGCTTAGGCCCATAGATTTTAGATGAGATCTTCTTGTCCACCCTCCCCCAGCTCCCCCTACCCATCCCCACAAAGGCAAGTAAGGGAAGATGTGGTCACCTACAGGACGAGAGATCGACCGCCTCTCTTGCTTAGCAGCGTCACCAGACCTCACCAGAAAGCACGTACTAGAAGAAAAAAAGAGTGTTGCACTCAATTAAATAAATCAGAGGGTGCTTTTGATGGAGTATGGGTCAGCATACCCCATAAAACAGATATCAAAAGGAAAAAATCTCAGGCACTCACTGTGATAATTTCAGGCAGATTTAATGGACACAGCAATGTTTCGACCTGTTCCCAGGTCTTTATCCAGCTTTATAAAGACCTGGGAACAGGTCAAAACGTTGCTATGTCCATTAAATCTGCCTGAAATTATCACAGTGAGTGCGTGAGATTTTTTCCTCACCAGGAAATGTCATAGGATTGGTCATGAACAGAGTTCTCAATGTCACAGGAAGGCTCAACCAGTGTTGTACTCTTCATCCATTTAAATCATTAACACCTCCTCCCCTCCCCCATCCCCCCCCAAAAAAAGGAAGAAAAAAAAGAATTGCGTCTAGTGCAAATAGATACATGTAAAATAGCGTTATTCTTTCTGGTGATATCATTTACTGAACAGGTGGACAGCATGTGGCTTATAGTCAGTCTGGCATTCTGTGACCACTTGATCACATCTTGATCAAATGGTTCACGTTCATGATCTTTTTCTCATGAAGTATTGAGTCTCCTTAATGTTTTGTATTAATAGTATTGCCTTATTAATTTAAATTTCTGTCTGTTTTAAAAAAAAAAATTTTTTTTAATTTATATGTGTACAATGCAAATCTTTTAAGGTATATGGGGCCTTATGGTAAGCTTACTAGATGTCTCTTGAGAATGTCTGTCTGCAGTGTTGTAGTCTTTAGAAAGTCTCCGGTCACCAAAAGCCATTACAAACAAAAATAAACATTATGTCCCATCCCTGCTTCTTCTGGTGGTTGCAGGGTTCAAAATACAATCAAATAATGTATCCGATATGTGTTTTAGTATATAATCTGTGTACTTTTACTTTGAATTATACACTCACCCAAGTGAGGCATTTGCCTAGTTCCACAATAACATTTTTGTACGTATGTGTCATTTACAACAATACCATGTAAACTCTGATAATAGCTACTTTCTTACAGAATCTTCTCCTCTGGCTAATGTCGTTTTGTTCCCTCATCTTGATTGACAGATGCTGTGAGTATAGGTTTAGTTGTAGACTTACGATGCATGTATTTTGGCCATGTTTGTCCCAGGACTCTGCGATGTGTCTAAGGTTTAGCTGCATTAGATCCTAAAATGACCTGAAAACATAGACTTTAATAATGATCGTGGAAATATCGAGCTGGAAACGGATAAGATCAGTAACTCACAAATATTTATAATTTAAATTCTCCCTTTTTATCTAAAATACAGAATAGCATGCAATATTAAATTAAGTGGTGGGAGCAAAAATACTGCTATTTAAGAAGACTATGTTGTTGCAGTGGATATAGCTGTTTGCAAAGGCATCTTCTTAGTCAATATGTCTGCAGTTAAATTTCCAGGTTGCAAGACAGGTTCATGAAAAGTGCTGAAAAACATGAACATGAAAACAGGAGCTTTTTTTAACAGTATAGTCAAACTGCGTATTTTATGTGTGAGGTGTACAGCAGTTTATTGAACTCATGTTCAATGAGTATATTGCTGACTAAAAATAAGACTGATTATCGCCCAGTTGTAGATGGTCAAAATGTTTTTATTGAGATTGCTGTTGGCATTTTATTTCTTTTTTTTGTTTTTCTCTTGTGCGCAGTGATCTGTCGAAATTTGGGTTGCTTACTTCTTAGTTTGAGAAGGCAGGATTACTTTATCTGCTGGACCTATCAATATGTATTATTTTTTATTATTTTTTTTCAAATAATTTTTATTAAAGTTTTTTGTATAACAAATGATAATAATACAAACATTGGAAAGGAGGGGTAACTTGGAAATGGGAGATAAAAATATATATATAATTATATGCATGTTTTTGTAATTACCTTTGTCGACCTTTTGAAAATCGTGCCCTTTTCTGCTAGATGTAATTGAAGGAAAAGCTTGATATTGAATTTGTTTTGGAAGTTTTGAAACGATCTCAAAGCACTTACGAAGCAAAATACTTTGAAAGTAGGAATATGAGCAACATACACAATTACTGTAGTTGAGGTGAATTTTCCCTTGAACAACCACAGCCCTATATTGTAAATTTGACGTTGTTGAACACAGAGCTGCTTTGGATCGTTTGAGAGGCATGGTTACGTTTATCGCATTGTTCCTGGAACAAATCTTTTGTTATAAGATTTTCTAATGATTCTGTGCTTGTCAAGCAATTACTGCGACATCTCCTATCCCTTTTTGACATGACAAGCACGAAGAAAAGAGATTTCACAACTTCCATGGAAAATGCAAAGACCATTTATACTCAAACTTTTGTCGTTCCGAATAGGCAGATATACGTTGGAGGAAAAAAAAAACCTTGTAAGCTAACTTACATTAGGTTTTAATAGAGTAGGGTGTATATATAATATATAGTGAGTTTATTTTTTTGCGTGGAATCATGTTTTGTTTGTATCAAGACCCTTATCCCAGCCTTTAGGGTTAATGTGGTACTGCATCCAGTCGTAGACCTTTTCACCACAACTCAATGGATCATAGACCAGTCTCTTACATTTTTAATAGCAGGTGCTAGGAGAGCTTTTCTTGTTACAAGGATATTTTTGGTTCCCTCAATGTATTTTTTTAAATTTATTATTATTGCGTTTTAGAAGAGGTATTAAAAACATCTGAAATTAATTTAGTTCCCTGTAAGCTTCAATAAGAGCACAAACCAAAAAAGTTATGGCTGGGAAAAAAGTGAATGAAAACCCCTTCCACTTGAAGGCAGTGGGTAGTGGATACATTCTTAAACACATTTCTGCACACACCAGTCAAGCCATAAGACCTGCCTTTCTCACAGAAATCTCAAATTTGCAGTGATGTTACTACCGCAAGGGTGGGGTATGCTAATGAATTCAACAAAGGGGATTCTTTATAGAATTAATGTGCATATGCCCACCCAGAATCCCTTGCGGTACTAACATCACTGCAAATCTGAGAATTCAGTGAGACTGCATAGTTGTGAACTGGTATTTCTAACTGACAGTTACTGTTTTTTCAGTGAGATAAGTTTGAGTAGTTCAATGGACTATGATTCCAATATAGTGTGCTTTTCTCTTCTTTAATTTTAACTATCACTGGGTTTCTAAAAGCTCTACCAATCAGTGGAAAGCTGATACCCTCAGTGTGGCATATACGCAAGCATGAGGAATGCCTACCGCAGAACTGTCCTTAAAGTGATGGTGATTGCACAGAGGGATGGTGATTCATATTGTTCAATAACTGGACATAAGCCTTTCTCATGTAATGCAGTAATGGACTAAATGAGTGTTACAGCTTGCAAAGATAAATATGTTATAAAAGTTGATGTTCAGTTATGTTAACTATCTTTACCACTTTACAATAAAACACATTGCTAAGCGAATCTGCTTACAGCGAAGGCTGTGGCAGTTTGATCTGTGAAGAGTAGCATATGGTGAATGGCAGTATTAAATCTGCAGTTGTAGTCTCCGCAGACCAATTTTTCATGTAAAGTAATGTATTTGGGCCGGCAGTCAGTCGATAACCACTTTGGGTAGCACCTGGTGTACTTCAGTGGGTGAGTGGAGATTTGAGCAACATAATTTACTGGTGTAATTAAATCTAAGTACCTTAATTGTGTTTTGTGGTCTCCCAAAGGCAGGTAGCCTTGATATTTACTGTCATTTAGCACACTTAATGTCATGTGACACTCTTGTTTCTTTTATCTTGGGCTCATCTAAATTATTAGATAAATTAAAACAGCAAATGAACTACGCACAAAACCAATAACCTTAACCAAATTATTTTAGACCCTAACACTTTAATTTTGCTTCACTCTGACTATTGAATTTTAGTGCAGAATTTACCATATGGCGTCTAAGGGAAGAAAACAAACAAATTGAATGGTCATAACATCACATTACATTACATCTAATTTTTTTGCAGGTGTCATGGATGAACTTCAGAGCTTGGATCCAAGGAGGCAAGAATTGTTGGAGGCCAGATTTACAGGTGGTGTCAGCGGCAGCACTGGGAGTACTGGAAGTTGCAGTGTTGGGGCAAAGGTGAGTCATGGTGCCAAAACATAAATATATTCTGTTAGAGCCTGTCCATAACATGAGATGTGATTGGATTGAGTGATGTGATTTGAGTGGCAGGATAAATGGAACTGTCCCGTTTAATCAACGTTTTATTCACAGTACATAACAGCAGAATCTGTTTGTTGCTCTTTGTTTTATGCATGTGCGTGGCTAGTCTATGTGCTTGTGCTGTGTAAGGAAATGTTACACTGCAGTGGAAGCCGTTAAACAGTATAAAATGTAACCCAAAACATAAAATAGTTTTTTCTTTAGACTTTACAACTTTTAAAAAGGAATCAATGTGGGATCCGCCCAAACAAATAGCCAGAATATAAAACCAAATATTATAATGCTAAAACTATTGGAGCAATTTAATATGAGTATTACCAGGAATAAAATATGTGGTTATTTCATAGGCATTCTGATGTGAAAATAGATGAGCGTATTTACCAGTTTTGTACTTCATTAGGTAGGTTATCGGTTACAGGGAATCCCGGTATTTAGTGGTATTACTAAATACCGTAATCTATTTTGCACCAGTAATCTTTACAAAATATCTATTCCTGACACTACAGTGCTGGAATGAAGCATTAGATACATGGCCTCCCTCCAGAGAGCAATGGTGATTTTAATAGTCTGTCCTCCTACGCCACGCTGGGGATACCTGACTCCGCCTCTGTGGCCGAGATAATCTGTTTTGACGATCTCAGCCAATTTAATGCTTTTGGAGGTGATTGCGCATGCGCGGCAAAATGCTGTGCAGCGCCAGTCAGCATCTCCTCAAAGAGGTGCCTTGAATCGGTGCATCTCTATGGGGTACCTTCAGAGCCTCCATGGAGAGCGTGGAGATGCTGTATGCCAATGCTGCACACTGTGCAGCCCTGACTCAGGAAACTCCTCTAGTGGTCTGAGTGACTGCCGCTAAAGGTGTTACTAGGCAGTAATTCTAAACAATGCCTTTTCTCTTATAGTGCTAAGGCTGCAGGGACATGCTAAAGACGCCAATATCCACTTGCTTATCGTGTTCTCTTTTTTTAAGTTTCAACAGAAAAAAATTGCCCAGGGCCAGTAAATCACATTCTGCATGAACATTTATGTGATACTTTTATTCCCCATCAACAATACTGTATACATTAAATACCCATAGCTGCTGTTAAGTGTTCTAGATATGACACAGTTTATTGGATCTCCCACTTTGAAATCCCAAATGACACTTACTCTACAGTTTGGCCAGTTTTCCTATTAATACAATTAAAGGGATCCTATAGTGCCAGGAATACAAACCTGTTTTCCTGCAACTATAGGCTCCTGGCGGGCCCCTTCAGCCACTTACCTGAATCCAGCACCGATATCACTCAGCGCTGGGTCAGGCTCCGCCAACGCTCCTCCCCTGCCGACAGCCGGTGGGAGAGAACTAATGCACATGCGCGGCAATGGTCATGCACACATTAGACTTCCCCATAGGAAAACATTATTCAGTGCTTTCCTATTGGGAAAATCTGACGCTGGAGGTCCGTGAGGACGTCCAGTGTCAGATAACGGACCAAAAGTTAGTTTGGATTCTGGAAACCCTCTAGTGGCTGTCTGTTAGACAACCACAGATGGCAGACTTAGAGCTGCAATGTAAACATTGCAGTTCTCTGGAACTGCAATGTTTTACATTGTAGCACCAAGTGCAAAAGGGTCATAGCACCCAGACTACTTCAATTAGCTGAAGTAGTCTGGGTGCCTACAGTGTCCCTTTAATTACTTGTAGTGTTTTCTTAAATTAAAATGCTTGTAAAATACATGTGCTGTGTTCTGTGTAAACATCCATTAGTATAGCGAAAAAAACCAAACAAATACAATGTATTTAATTATCCTGCATGTGTTATACGCCAACATTCTTTTCCTTTCACTACGGTAACCAGTATTGCAGCAGATTTCAGGACTACAGAAAAGAATCAATAAAACTGCTGTAGCCTGTGACCACGGAACTCCCGCTACTTCCCTGAGATTGGGAAAGACAAGCTTGTATTGATTAACATCTCAAGCTTGAGAAGTGCCTAGCCAGTAGCACCAAGCCAAATACATCTCTTAATCACTAATCCATGCTTTGAAAACCGATTCATAGTTCAGCTGCAGTTTCTTTGAACAAGACAATTTGATCTCGTTGGCATCTTGAGAATTGGACTATTTGCAGTTTGGCAATTTGAAATCTTTGAGTGCTGGAGATGGTAACATCACCAGTTCAAATAATGGCAAAATATTTTGTAAACGGTTTACGTTAAACACCAGCTTTGCAATCGTTTAAAGGGGAACTGCAGGTATCTGTACAACATTGATACGTAATACCATTTTTATGGTAAAATAATCTAACTTAATTTGCCTGCTGCTCATGTTTGTACACCGAGAAAAAATACAGTTTAGCAGCAGTTTAGTTGGTGATAAATTGGTATTTAAAATAAATACGATTTTGAGATGAGAACTACTAAAGCATCTGCACTGCGCTTAGATCTAATAGAATTATTGTCTGTTATTTGTATTCTTCTCCGTCCTGTTTTGGATTGTTTGCAAATTGCCTTGGGTCTCCATAAGGTATAAGGGTAATCCACACGTGGATCTCTCTCTCACTGTGTCTAGAGCAATATTAGCCTCAAGATAAGTTAAAACCAGCTTGAGAACTGCATGAGGACCATGGAAAGGCAAGCTATTTCAGTTGTTGTGCATTCTCTTATGCCCTGTTTTGGTGTGATAAATCATATATTCAAAGCGTAAGGAAACGTTTTCAAAGTAAACCTGTCATATCAAATTTTACTTAAAGGAATTATATAGTGCCAGGAAAACACCCTCACCACAGAAGTCCCACTAGTGGCTGTTTTGTAGGCAGTCACTAGAGGAGGACTTAACCCGACACGGTAATTATTGCAATTTCTCAGAAACTACAATAATTACCACTGTAGGTTTAAGTGCCATGGGACATTGCACCCAGACCACTTCAATGAGCTGAAGTGGTCTGGGTGCCTACAGTGTCCGTTTAAATACCGGGATGTCGTTTTACACTGGCTGCTGCTTCACAACTAATCAAAAGAGAGGCCCTAGGCCAGTGATGGTGAACCTATGGCACTCGTGGCACGCCGGGCCTTCTCTGTGGGCACGTGGCCATAGGTTCGCCATCAATGCAGAGTAGGCACCTGCCTGCCCAAAACGGCTGGTGTCTACTGTTCTTTCTTGTTGGGAGGACCGGAAGCAGGGAGAGGGATCTCGGAAGCAGCGCTCCTGTCCTCCCGCGAGCAATCTGTGTGTTACCATGGCAACGCTCCACGTAGCATTCTGCACGCGGGTGGACAGGAGTGCTGCAGGACCTGTCCTAGATACTAACCACCATCGGACCACCAGAGATGGCTGTGATGATTTAATATACTTTTTTTTTTTTTTTTTACATTTATTTTTTTTCATGTATCTGTAACCCCCACACAGCACCCGTAACCCCCCCACACACACAGCACCCATAACCCCCCACACACACAGCACCCCTAGCCCCCCACACACACAGCACCTCTACCTCCCCCACACACAGCACCCCTATCCCCCCACACACACACTCCACACCCATACACACAAACACATACACTGCACCCCTCAATGCATTATATGTGTGTGTGTATTCAGCAGTCTTTATGTATTCAGCAGTGTGTGTGCCCAGTAGTGTGTGTGTGTGTGTGTGTGTGTGTGTGCTCAGCAGTGTGTGTGTGTTTAGCAGTCTGTGTTTAGCAGTCTCTGTGTGTGTATTTAGCAGTCTCTCTGTGTGTGTGTGTGTATTTAGCAGTCTGTGTGTGTATTTAGCAGTCTGTGTGTATTTAGCAGTCTCTGTGTGTGTGTGTATTTAGCAGTCTCTGTGTGTGTGTGTATTTAGCAGTCTCTGTGTGTGTGTGTATTTAGTCTGTGTGTATGTATTGCATTTGTTGGAGATACTAATAAATATAAGCTTAATTTTATCTATTTATATAATTATTTAAAAATTGTATCATTGAACTCTCTGTTGTGTTCTTCTTTTAAAGCAAAAGATGTTAACTAGTTCGGACAACTGTACAGGTTGTTTTTTCTAAACTTAAACCTCAGTATTCCGGTTTAATTGCTGTGTTGGCACTTTGAGGGAAAAAAGTTGACATGTACACTGCTCAAAAAGGTTCACCATCACTGCCCTAGGCCCTTTCCCCTCTCTAACACAGTAGTTTTGCATTTATTCCAGTCGGGATATTAAAACGTGTACTGTTGTTGTTAGGTGTTAAATTTGTAATTTCTACTGAACGAAAAAGAATGTGTAAAGTTTCGCTATTTGCTATAAAAATATTTAAAAAAACAAAACAAAGGTTTTAAATATCCTTTTTCCAGCGCCTAGAGAGGTATTACTATCTCCAGTGATGTTTCAATCCAATGCTCCTTTATGAGACTTGATGTGCATGCATTGCGAGAGCCTTATCTGCATCCAATGCTTCTCATCGGAAAGCATTGAATCCAATGCTTTCCCATGAACTACATCATCACGTGACCGAGCTTTACTCGGTCAGTACAGCAGAAGTGCCTCTAGTGGCTGTAGGTATGACACTCACTTGAGATGTGTTAAACCTTTCCCGTTCTGCAAATGGTAATGTATTACTTTGACTGGTTAAACATGCAGGACCATTGCACCTAGACCAGTTAATTGAAATGAAGTATTCTATGCGATTTTAGTGGTCCTTTAATGACTTTCCGCTATGATTCTTGAGTTAATTGGAATTGGCGCAAAGGCAGGTTTTTTTTTTTTTTTTTTTTCATACCGTGCAATTTGATCTCTGTAAGAATGTTGTCAATTTCCATCTGCTCTTAATAAAATAAAGAAAATGTCTGAAATGTTCTCAAAAGCTTCTCTCAGACCGGCAAAAATACCCACATTGTGTGTCTAGATTCCCATTAGTACTGTATATTTTGAATACAAGTGAATTTGTTATGTAGTGTAGTAACCAGCACCTCGTGCCATTTTTAGGAATCAATAGACAGTCTTATGGGGCAAGACGGCAGAGGAAGAGGGATCATGTTTTATGACAAAACAGTGCATGTTAGGAGCCAAAGTCATTGTCTTTACTTCCTGTCAAGTTAGCAACATCAAAAAATATTAAAGGAACACTATTACATTAGTACATTTAGATTCAGCCCCACCCCGTCATATTACTATTTATGAAAGGCTACCCTTTATCTTTTTTTCAGCGGCAAGATCTAGTCCCTGCAGCCGCCTTATCCGTCTCCTGTTAACTCACACTGATTCTGTCTTTGTGGCCAATCCAATGCTTCTCATAGAGAAGCATTGGGGGACGAGAAGCGTGTGCTAGGTCAGAATCGTGTACCCCTTATCACATGCTTTCTATGACAAGCATTTGAGGAGTTTATGTGTAAAAGCCAAATATGACTGTTCTTACAGTGGAGGACAGCCAATAGGGTTGTGTTTAGCCCTGCAATAGAAACATTGCTGTATTTATTAAACAACAATCTTTTACACTGCAAGGCTTAAATTACATTGAGATGAAGCGGTATGGGTGCCCATAGTGTCCCTTTAAGCAGAAACAAGTCACAAAGAAATCTCCCACCTCACACTTCATCCAGTATGTTAGGAGGCTATCAACATGCACAATCTGAACTTTGACTAATGTATTGATAAAGACTGATGACAGACTTAGATGATTTAAAAATGATGGCCCCATTAATGTTAACATGTTTTTTTCCATATATGAACTAAGCTAAAAGTCACACACCTGCAAGACCTCATCAGAAATGCAGATGCATTCTTTGATAATGAATGAACATCATTTTAGAGGAATTTCTGAGAGAGCAGTTATGGTTCACAGTAGATTCACATGTGAGACGGTGGATGAGATGTTGAGAGAGAAGACATTGCCGGAGTGCCCCAATGCATAACCAAACAGGGAACTGAAGATATCATAATAGAGGTTTTTATTGTAATTAACTAAATTCATGTTCTAGTCACGGAACTAAAATAAATCTAAGTTTTTGTTTATCCCCTCTCTTCAAACTCAAATTCACCCTAGTGGTCACCTCCATGACAGACTTTAAAAAAGATTCAAAGTGGCCTGAAATATTGCTAAACACAGATTTATCTAATAACATTTTAATTTTGACAGAAGATTTCAGACTGCTGTGACTTGGAATGTCACTGACTTTTATCTCTTTAGGTAGGATAGAGAGTTAAGAAGCCTTGAATCACAGAATAACTTTTGAAATATCAGGAGTGAAGGCAAAGTGACAGTCGGTGGAATCTCACTCATATTTACTGTTTGCAAAAAGTATAATGGGACCATTTTGAGCTAATCAAATGTCCAATAACGTAGTTTGCCTTTAAAACAATTCACGTTAGACACTATGATTGTATTGTAAATGACACAAACATCATTGGCTACGTGTGTAATGTATATCACTAGGCATTTATTTTCAGGTTTCAATTCAATCTCCCTGTTATGGTGGTCTTTTCTACATTATTAATCTTTTTATACCTGTGCTTGTTCAACAGGCCTCAACAAACAATGAGAGTTCAAACCACAGTTTTGGAAGCCTGGGTTCTTTAAGTGATAAAGAGTCTGAGGTATGTTGTTGCTTTTTCTTCTTCAATATCTTTTTATCTAAACTGTCATTTTTTTATTTGTTTTTTAATCTTTCATTCCCTGTATGTCAAATGTTGGTTTTAGTGTTCAAAATGAAAACGTAGAGGTTGTTTTTTTTTACGTATTTTTTTATGCTATAGATTTTAAGTATTGTACTGATCATGTCATTATTCCCTTATTGCAACTTCTTTCTTAAACATTTGCAGGATTATTCACCAAAGTGAGAATTGCTAAGAATTCAAAGTGAATTGGAGTATTTATTTTTCTAATTCCGCTATTGTGACTTAAATTTTGAAATTAACTCTGAGTTGCCAAATTTGTCACAATATCTGAATTAGAAAATACAAAAATCTACTATGAGTTCATGATAATTTATATTTCAGTGAATAACTCTTTTGATGCAACAGTGCAGCAAATGTATTGAATTTAATTTGATTAAATTTCTTTACACTCATAGCAAAGGAACATTCCCATACTGAAAGTTAAACTATTGACTGCTTATTTAGGCTTTACCTTATTTGTTGTAAGTACAAAAAAACAGAGCAAAACAATGCAACTAATAATAGATGTTTATTGCAAAGTATAATAATCTCAACTAAGATGATAGAAGCGTTAAAAAAATGTAATATTGAAAATACAGCCATTATCTAGCATGTTTCTATACAAACTGCATTATTTGTAGTAAGGGCTATCTATATGAGCTGTCATCTGTAACATTTTCTACAAAAGTATTTTGTTATTTTAATTTTATTTTTTCTGTCTTTGTTTTTTACTTTTGCCTCCTCCATCCCATGTTCTGGAATGAATAACATTTTTAAAGTGAACCTGTCATAAATCCCCCTTATGCATCACATTCCTCATTTGTCCTAGATAGTCAGGAGTAGTTTTGTATCTCATATCTTTTTTTTTTTTTTCATGTCACATTCTGTCAAGATGAATATGGTGCGTTTTGTTATATGAACTGAAAGATATTCATTTTTGGGGAGCAGCCCACTGACTTAACACGTGATGTTCCTGTGTAGGAACTTTTATATTATCATTTATTCTTTATTTTAAATTTAACATTGCACCACACAGCTATAGTACTACATGACAGAAATGTCTACATTGTAGAATAACATGGTGCAGTCACTACACTGATTGCTATATAATGAAAGAATAAAAATACAGGGGAAAGAAGAGAAACATAGAAGTTTTCACCTGTGAAGTCCCATACCCATCCTACACTACTCCAGAGCCTCAAGGCCGCTATGTATCAAGAATTCCTCCACAGGAAAACCAAGACTTCCACAATATGTCAAAGGAGAAAAAATGGGTCGACAATGGACTTCACCCAATATATTTTAGCTTTCGTAGTAGATATCAGATAGTGGTTACGGGCATCCTGGAACCACTAAAGTGCAATGGATTTCTACTTCGCAACCAGTATCTTAGCCATCAATCTGTTTTCCCACTTAGACAATCCTGCGAGCAAGACAGTAGAAAGATACAAGTGTCATTTTGAGACACTGGCATCATAGACGGTAAATTGTGCCTTTTAGACCATATTGCCACCAAGAAACCTGTTGTGTCATGACCCATATGCATAGAAAATACCTGAGTAATGTACCAATGACAGATCATTTTGTGACATTGTTCTTATGAATTAACAGAAACTGGAACTTTAGTACAAGCCTCCCATATTTCTACCTCCATGTTTTCACCAATGTCCTATTCTAATTTTTTTGGATTGATATAATCCGGGAATTCTGAGTGTATAGAGATCCTGTGTATGGAATTTGTATTCATGTCTATTAAAGGAACTCTCTAAAAACAATAACTGAACAGCCCACTATAGTGCCTATAATATTGGAAGGAATGCCTCGGTGGGCTCCCAGAGTAAGTAGACACATTTACCTTGGCTCTGCCATGCATCCCCTGCTACACCATGTTGCTGAAAGCGGTTGCCCCTGAGCTAAGCCCAGCTATGCAGGGCTCTTGCTCTTGTTGCCTACGAGCGCTTAGCTGATGCACTCTGCCAATGAGCTGGCCCTGCATGGCGGTGCTTAGCTCAGTGTTGCCAATGGAAACTCCCTGCAGAAGATTCTGCTACGAGGATAGTTGTAGTGATGGTCTTCCGGTGAGACCCAGGTAAATTGTCAAACCATTCTTAAGTGGTTTGACTGCTTTCTGTGGGTGGGTGCCATGGTATCGTAGTACCATAACCACTACAGTGGGCTGTATTGGTTATGATGCTTGGTGTGTTCCTTAATGGCTTTCACAAAAGTCTGCTGGACAAATATTCACAGAGTGTGATAAATTGTTACAATTATGGACACAAATAAGTTGACCGGGATTGTATATTGTAAATGTCTATAATTCAGTAGTGCATGACAATGGGAAAATCATTACTTGAATATTGATCGTATTTTGATTGTTGCATTTAGACTCCAGAAAAGAAGCAGCCAGACTGTTCGAGGGGAAGGAAAAGGAAAGCGGAAAATCAAAGTGAAAGCAGTCAAGGTAAAACAACCTACAGTTTCATCTACATATGTGCATATATGTATACTGTTTGTAATAAGCTAAAACTTTCAACTTCTATACTGATTTTGCTAGTCCTCCCTTAAAAGACCACTATAGGCACCCAGGCCACTTCAGCTTAATGAAGTGGTCTGGGTGCCAGGTCCATCTAGGATTAATCCTTTCTGCTGTAAACATAGCAGTTTCAGAGAAACTGCTATGTTTACAAATGGGTTAATCCAGCCTCTAGTGGCTGTCTCATTGACAGCCGCTAGAGGCGCTTCCACGCTTCTCACTGTGATTTTCACAGTGAGAATGCTTTCCTATGAGACTGGCTGAATGCGCGCGCGTGTGAATTCAGCCGATGATGGGAAAGGAGGAGGAGAGTCCTTAGCGCATAGGGAGCCCGGCCCTGGAAAAAAATTAAGGTATTAACCCCTTCCTCCCGCAGAGCCCGCCGGGAGGGGGACCCAAGGACCCTATAGAGCCAGGAAAACGAGTATGTTTTCCTGGCACTATAGTGGTCCTTTAAGAGGACTCTCAAGACTTACAGTGCAAGAATAAGTTTAATAGAGCATAATGAAGAATATCTTCTTTTTTTGTTTGTTTGCATTGTGCCACATGTACTTTGTTGTCAGCCTATTCTAATATGACATTGCTAACTGGAATCTTTTTAGTCGTGCTTAGCTCTTTATTGGATAGGCAGTGCTTGAGTGTGATTGGTTTTAGCACATCTAAGAACTTGGTTTGTTTACACTGATGGAACCTATTGCAGCATTATTTATGAAGAATGTTTAAAGCATCTTCTCCTCTATAAAGCATCTACCTTCACTTAACCAGTCTGTAAGGGCCCTATCGTGCGTGTTTATTGGAGATCGGATTGGAAATGTTTTTCCAAAGTTGATTAATCCAAAGAAGCTCTAAGTCTTGAAATCGATGATCACAACTCTGAGCAACTAAGTTCTTCTTTTTGAGTCCGGAGAGCTGTAACTTTTATGCAGACTGAAATTAATTTATTTTAACCTTGCTTAAATACATTTTTTTTTTTTACTTGCCCGCTAGCCATTGACAAGTGGAAATTCAGCCCTGGCAAGAGTGCTATGGGCCCCCACTAGCCATGGGGATCCGCAGTGCTGTTTGAAAGCAGTAGCTTGTATCCGCTAGCTTGTTTGCATAAAGGAAATATTGCGAAATCAATGCAGTGTGTATCTGAATGCTTTTGGGATACATGTGTAAGCTAGAACTATAGAAATGAGTGGGTAGCCAGGGAATCCACAGCACATTGCTTATTCTTCTCTGGTATTCTAGTATACCATAAGGTGTATGTGTAGGTGGTTGGAACTCACACATATAAATACATACCTGTTGCCAGAGGAGGAGAATATGTTCAGAACATTTAATCTACACATTTTCTTGCAAATGTACTTTATGGCAGTAGTTTGCATTTTAGCAACAAAGTGCTGTGCCGTGTAGGTTGGACAATGCTTGGCTGAATACTAGCCAACACCATACATCTCCATATCTTGCTGACAGAAGGACAGGATACAAGTAACTCCTACTAATTACTGTTTCCTTCTGGGCTTAATGCCAGCTTGCAGAAACTGCAGCCAAAAGTTGTGAAGAATGTGTCTAAGATGGAGTCGAGCGTTTTAACATTGGAAAGAATAACTTCATAGGCAAACTAAACTAGGAAGAAGCAGGATGAGATCTTGATTACTAGTGGCCGAATTTCCTTACAGTTGTGCTCTCGAATGAGCCTGTTTAAGAGAGCTGCAGTTTTAGAACTCTAAATGTAGAGCTATTGTGACACTCTTAAATCACGGAATCATGGTCAAAATACCCTCTGATTGAAGCTTTCACACATGGAACATGGAGAGAAAACCTAACACCAACTCCATGTGGACTGGAACCCTTTGGATGAAGCTTTGACAAAGTGTCTGAAACCGTTTTACACCTTAACCCCTTAAGGACACAACTTCTGGAATAAAAGGGAATCATGACGGAATATTTCCATCATGTGTCCTTATGGGGTTAAGTTGATCCATTTGTGCCCTAGCTGTCATTTTTCAATGTACCTAATTTTTTGAGTATTGAAACTGATTTATCAATCTTTCTTTCGCCTTTTTTCCACCAGAAAAGTGTTATGCTTGTTTTTTTCCCTCTCCCCACTACTCTATATTTGGCTATAGGTAATGTCTGGTGTTCCCAAAAGGTGCTCTAATCAGTTCCTTAGATTACCATTTTTACACCTAGCATGAAAAGCATTGTATTACACTTCCAAAATAGGCAGATGGGTTTACATACTAGTTCTCTCACATGATTTTCATCTTATTTATGTTAAAATATCCCTCAATAAACATTCTGCAATCAGTTGCATGTGGCTGTACTACCGTTGCACCTTCTTCCTGTATACCTAATTAGGAAAGTTATTGTATACGTTAGATATTTACATTTTTGCATTACTCTTTTTATTTATGACTTGTCAGATGGAATATAGGTATTAATTATGAATATTTTCTCTGTAGGCAAAAATAATGGGGGACGTGGCCACAAGATTAGCGACTATTTTGAGGTAAGTTTTCTTTTTTGTCATCCTGATTTAAAGGTGCCATAGAATGCTTATAGTAATATCAATAAATATGTTATGATTGTTATTGCTCAATCACAACGTTGTACATTTTGAAACTTACATTATAATTTTGCCACCACTGTACAAATCCTGTGTGTCTGAATTTTATCCGTAGTACCAAGCTGGGAATGGCTCCAGTCCTGTAAGAGGCTTACCGCCTTCGATACGGTCTCCTCAGAACTCGCATTCACATTCCACTCCTTCCTCTTCTGTAAGTTTTCAGAACTACCATCTGATTTTTGCATTACAATAGGTACAGTTATGGACTTCTCTGGGTGCAGCTATTATTCAATAAATCCTTTTCACTTCTCTCCAAAATGTTCCTTAATTTGTGAAATTATGATTAACTTGTGCAGTTTTGAATGAATACAAATATCATTTTTAAGTTCCTCCACCTATATTTGGATCGTCACACAAGTGTGTGCATGCAGCTCCCTTTGAATTGAATGTGTGCGCGCATGGAACAACACTGATTTTAAAGCAGTATTGGCTGGAAGCATGCCTATTAAATTCGGAGAGGTGTACTGTTCCACATTTACTGTAGTGAGTATATCACTGCATCCTCATTAAAGCTTTTATAAGAAAACAAAAGCTATGTTTTAATACATACGGCATGCAAATAAGTCTTTTATATAAAAACAGACAAAGTAACCTTGGAATAATATGCAAATCCAGTTTGAATAATTACATGGTTTATCTATATTTCACACGTTTTTATATGTAAAGAAGATACCATAGGGTAATTATGGGTTTTTGTGTTTTGTTCACTTATGCATTTATTTACCCTATACCCCAATTCCTGTAACAGTCAGTTTCTTTGTGTTTTAGGTACGACAAAATAGCCCTTCCCCGACTGCACTGGCTTTTGCGGACCATCTTCTAACGCCAACAAAGCAGTTATCGTATAAATTAATACAGGTACTTTTAGACAAATATATCTTTTTTTTTTTTTTTTTTTTAAGCTATCTTATATATTAAGGTTTTTTTTTATTTTATTTTTATTTTTATTTTTTTTAATTTAAAATACATCTAATTGAAACAACAGAGAGGAATAATAATAACATACTGCCATACACATACAAACATAGAGATGAGTGTAAAAAGTATTGGAAAGGAATACAGTTCTGTTGGGACATAAGGAAGGGGGTTGCTTACAGGGATTTAATATTCCAGGCTAACTGTTGGACAGTGATTAATACAGTTGCTCATAACAAAGAAGACACATTCTATGTTGTGTCTACTTCATAAAAGATGCATACTGAGATCTACTTTCCAAGAAAAAGCCTTACTCTCCGCTGAAATGGTGGCATTGTTTACCCTCCCCCATTGCTAGCAAATAATCTTATAACTGGGATATATTTACTGCAAATTAATAGAGTGTGAATATCAATTAGCCCTGTATCCAGGCAGATTTTAAAGGAATTAAACCTAAAATTGTATTCATTAACTTACCTTGACCTCCCCACTCCCACCCCCCCCTCCCCCTTTTTAATTTTAAGCATTATTTAAAGCATAGGCTCTTACACTTTTGTGACTTCGTTGGTGTTCTTTAAGGCAGGGCTTGACTAATACGTTACCATGGTGACACAAAAAATGAGACCTGGCACACACTATTTCTTTTTGATGGTCAGGAAAGCTCAAACGTTTTTCCCCAATTAATTCCTCTGACATTCATACTTTTATTTCTCTATCTCATCCCCCTTATCTCACCACTGTTGGCATTAGAAAATGAGGAGATGAGAAATCTGTCCATGGTGACAGTGAAAGTGCATGCACTACCTAAATGCTACAGTGCACAGAGATAGGGAAAAACCTTCTCTGCTACCACATCACCAGTAGCTAAGAAGGACCCAATGTTTATTTAATGTTTCTTACATTCTATGGTAAGGAAAAAACACAAGAACTTTCATTCTGCACCATGGTATGGTGATAAGTAGTGATGTCCCAAATGGTTCGCCGCGGATGGCGAACATATGCGCTGTTCGGTCCGCCCCTATGTCATCATTGAGTAAACTTTGACCCTGTACCTCACAGTCAGCAGACACATTCCAGCCAATCAGCAGCAGACCCTCCCTCCCAGACCCTCCCACCTCCTGGACAGCATCCATTTTACATTCATTGTGAAGCTGCATTCTTAGTGAGCTGTCCAGGAGGTGGGATGGTCTGGGAGGGAGGGTCTGCTGCTGATTGGCTGGAATGTGTCTGCTGACTGTGAGGTACAGGGTCAAAGTTTACTCAATGATGACATAGGGGGCGGACCGAACAGCGTATATGTTCGCCGTTTGGCGAACCGTTCGGGACATCACTAGTGATAAGATTTCTTTGATGTTTCGACCCCAAGGGAGCTAGAGCCAATATGTGAGAGTGGTGTATTTGCTTAGAAGTAAAACTATAGATATAAAAATGAGTCTTTATTTTCCTACCTAAATATTTGGTTAGTACCAGTTTGAACAGGAAAAACAATCCCTGCCTCCCCCCCTCCTAAATTATTAAAATGTCAATTTAGGCAGATTTATACATTTCATTTTGCTTAATACTTGGAGTACTTTTATGAAGCCATCATGTGTCCTTGTTTAATGTAGCAACGATGCTTGATGGATTTCTGTTTAGGTTGATAGTTTATGAATTCGGTTTAGGTGAGATTAAACTATTCTCTTATGTGTTGAACAAGTGAATATGCCTGTTGATGATGCTGCATAAACGTAAATTAAATAAAACCAAGTAAAACCATCCTCTCTATGTAGGTTTAGTGAGTGTTATCCTCATTCTTATTAGTACACTGCAAATGGAGGGATGTGTGGCATATTATTATTAATTATTATTGTGGCATTAGAAAAATGATGTTTATTGTGGCAGCCAAAGTTGTTATGTCAAGGCACTGAAATACAGTGGTTGTGCATTTAAATGTTGCTTAGTATTGCGTAATATAAACGGGCCTTTTATATATTCTTGTATAATATAGAAAGATCCTGTACATATTATACTTTATTTCTGCTTTTACTTCACCTGGGACCTGTGGGGGTTTTTTTCAGCCTGCTAGAAAAGTACAGCTTAATTTCATTTTTGGTACTTTTATTTTTTATTTTTTTTTTAGGGAATTTGAAAAATATATTTAGACAGAAGTCAAGTACAGATATATCATCAGAGAACATTTTTTTTTTTCCTCAACCGGTTTGTATAGGATGAACATAACATAGATTTTAGGACATTATCATTAAATATATCCTCTTAGATTTACATTTTATTTGAAGATAAAGGATATACATTGTATTTGTTATACCTTTTTATGAATCATGATTTCAAAAACAGGGCTTCGCAGCTAGCTTTGTAACCATGTAGTGAGGGATATGCCCACATGTCTGACAATAGAAACCAATCAATGAAACTCCCTTCAGGCGCTGACAGCCCAGCAAATAAAGTTATAGTCTGTGTGAAATAAAAATGTCTTCCTTTCAGACGGATCTCACAATGCTGAAACTAGCTGCCCTTGAAAGTAATAAAAACCAAGACTTGGAAAAAAAAGAAGGCAGAATAGATGACTTGCTCAGGGTACGTATGACTGTCTCTCTGAAAATCATTAACTGGGAAACCTGTACAGCAATAATGAAAATTGTATGTTTTTTTTTTTTTTTTTTAAATACATATATTTTTGTCAAACACAGATGCTATTTCCAGAAGTAAGGAATCTACAGTGATTTTACATGATTTACCTTAGCTAGCTAGCTCCATTACCATTTCCCTTTTTACATGTTAGTAATATGGTGTCTCTGTCCTTGTAGATATAAAATGCCACTGGTTCAGCCATGAAGCCATGAAGTGTTAGATGCACACCTGTCTATCCATAGGGAAGGTTGTAAAAAAATAAAATACAACTCTTAGACAAATGTGTTATTTAAATTTAATCTAAAAGTGAACTAGGAAGTGGCTTCATATCAGTCCTTTGTTGTTTTAAAGCCAGCAAAATACAAAACTAATCGATGATTGTATGAGAAATAAATTGAGGTCATTCTATTTTGTTTGAGGCCAGTTTACTCTACACTTTAATGGATTGAGCCTTGACATCCCAACTCTGGCAGGATACTTATGATTAAACAGAGTTCTACGTAAACACTGAATTTAGTTAAAAAGTAAATTAGAACATTTAGGCAAGACGTGCTGATCTGGAATAATCTTTTAACTCTGCCATAGTCACACATTACCAATTTTAGCCCACATTTTGCAGTCTAGTCTTCCATTCATTACAATATGGAATAAATGTGTATTCTGTGCTGCACATTTACAGCTTTCTACCTAAAATAGGACCTCCATTTAATATTTCTAGATAAGTCTTCAATTTTTTTTATTTAAGTTAAAAATTTGAAAAAAATCTATTTAAAAAAAAAAAAATCAGTTTCCAAAAATGTAAAAGTTTATCAAAAAATATAATTTGAAAAGTTTATCCAAACATATTAAATCAAAGCTGTGCTTCTAATTTTCTCCATTCATGAACATGTGCTCTTGGAGAAACCTGTGTTACCAAAACCACGCTACCTACCTCCCTACTTATTGTTGGAAAATGTGTCTTTAAAAAAAAAAAAAAAAAAATTGTAACAGAATAAAATGTTGGATTTTATTTATTTATTTATTTATTTATTCTCTGCTAGAAAACTGACATGTGTGCCCATCCTTGATCCTAACGTAGCTTCATTTTGTGAATATTTTCTTCCAAATTCTGGGAATTCTTTAATTTTTTTACTGTACATTTGTGTTCCTAAAGGTGCACCTTTTTATTTCTTGCTCTCTCTTTTTTCATTTTTTTTTTTTATTTGTGACATAGGATACATTTTTCTTTGTGTTTGGTGCATTCATAAACATATGTAGTTTTCTTGTATTATTTAAATTGCAGAAGAAATGAGACATGATTTGTACCTGCAATTTTGTAATTTTGCAGTTTCAGTTTGCAGAAATATTACTCTTGTTAATCTGTACTTTAGTAAACTCTGCTTTGTGCTAACCACGTGTAACCATGTAAGTATATATGTCACATATATCACATTCAATATATTTTTGCCGCGTAGAAGATCTACTGCATTAGCAACTGAAAGCTTACAAACAATATTTATTTATATTCTTCTTGCATTTTGACTATCACAGTGTGTAGCGCCAAAAAGTATGTAACACAAGGAATTCAGTCTTTTAAAAACCACTCCCTGCCATTGTGGATTTTTTTTTTTACATTTTAATTCCCATCTGAACACGCAATTATTTTCAAATTGTTTTTAGCGTAGCTCGGGGAAATATCCTTGACTGTTTCAAGCACATACTGTCAGAGGCTTGCTAGAATTCTGTTGCTTTGTAGCACACTGCAAAGCCAATCCTAAACTTCGATAAATTTTATGAATTGGCCAATCTATAAATACTCTCTCTACATCTTCTATAAATAGCTAGGGCATAGATAAATAGGAAGACAAATGACAGTAAATGTTAACAATCTGCATTTAAAAAGAGCTGATTACAATTAGTTTGAACAGTTGAATTGTATTCACACACGATACATAGAAAGGACTTCAGTTGAAATGTAAAAAATCATTTTTAATTCTACTTGTATCTTTAACGTAACATGCTGAAGTACTTAAGGGCTTTAGAAAAAGTTCCTCTTATTTCAGAAGTGTCAGTTGTAAGGGAAATATACATTTTTACATAAAAAATATAATTTTTCTTAAATGTCAGACAACTGCACGGAGGCACTTTCTTTTTCGCATTAAACACTTGCAGAGAAGCATTAGACTTATTATTGCTGCACGGCAGGACCCAGTACTTCTCCTCCTCAGAGTTGCAGCAAGTAGACCCTCTTGTTGTGGTGGTGCTTTTTTTTAAGGAAATAAAGGGGTCAGATATCTAAATAATGGAACACTCCTGTGCTACATAAATATATTTATAATGTTGGAGTGTTCATTTAAAGAGATGGGTTCTGCTTATTTGATGCCTTTACTCCCCATACAAATGAAATTTTGCTCCTATTAAAGGAAAACTGTCTTTATGTTATAGTTTTGCAACAAATAATTATATATAATATACTTGGTTTTGTTATTTGTGTAGTATTTTGCATAAATCAACAACATTAAAAATCAAATATACACAATGTAATATGTTATTAGAACTTCTAAAACAATCACTTTTTTCTCTCAATTTCAAAATATTGAATCTGACCCGTTTCTGTAATTGAAAATTGCCATTTTAATAGTCACAGTGAAAGTTTTTTTTATTTTATTTTTTTATTTTATGAATGTATTTTTTGTCCCATCACTATGGGCTGTGAAGATTGTGTTATGTTGCTAATGTCTTTTCAAATCCTTTTATTTAAAAGTTTTACTTTTAACAAAGTATGACGATTAAACATTACAGTAATAATGCAAAAACAAGGCAAATTTGAACAATAAACATGCATGAGACTTATGAACAATTATACCTATTATGTAGTAACTGCCTGCCTGCTTGTCATGAATTCTGTGCATGGAGAAAAACTAAAACATAGTGCATCGTGTTGTGTTAGCCTCCATATTGATTTATTTTTGTTTTTCATAATTTCAGACAAATTGTGATCTTAGACGACAGATAGATGAGCAGCAAAAAGTTCTGGAAAAATATAAAGAGAGATTAAATAAATGCATCTCGATGAGTAAGAAACTTCTTATTGAAAAGGTGAGTATGTTGGCTGCAAAATCCAGAAGTTTAAAGATTGAAGCATTCATATTCACTGTTACACTGTTTAAAGGGACACTGTAGGCACCCAGACCATTTCATCTAATTGAAGTAGTCTGGGTTCTGTGTCCGTTTTGCACTTAGTGCTGCAATGTTTACATTGCAACTTTAAGTTTGCCTTCTGTGACTTTCTAAGAGACAGCCACTTGGGGCTCTTCCGGAATCCAAATTATCTGACGTTCAGGACGTTCTCACAGACCTCCAGTGTCAGATTTGCACCATAATAATGCTTTCCTATGGGGATTTCTATTGCGTGCACTGCCATTGCTGTGCATACGCATTAGTTATCCCCCGCCGGCTGACGTGGGCGGGGGAGGAGCGTAGGCAAAGCCTGACCCAGCGCAGAGGGATATCTGCGTTGGATTCAGGTAAGTGGCTGAAGGGGTTTTACCGGGAGGAGGGAGTTCCAAAGGATGGGGGACACACCTCATAACCCTATATTGCCATGAAAATGGCTTTATTTTCCTGGCACTATAGGATCCCTTTAACCCTTGTGCGTATACAGCTGATGTCTAAACAGTTGTTGATTTAGACTACTTAGTTCATTTGATTCTGTTAGCACAATGTTTTAAAAGGTGTTATTTCATTGGCATCTGATCATTAAGCATTTGTCTCTATGTTGTGTTAAGTTCAGTAGTTTTTTTTAAAGTGAAAATAACAATATAAATTGGCAAAGTTCAATCTCATATTATATTGCACCAACGTCTAAATAAAATAATAATTCCTATATTATATTTGTATTTTCTTAAGGACGGGTTACATATTCATAATCGTTTGCCATTATTTCATTTTGGCCAAGTGCACCTAATTTTTAGAAATAAAACGAATTATGGGGATTCTTTTTGTGTTTTTTTTGTTTTGTTTTTTTAAACCAATGCCAAATGTAAAAATTAGGGCTTATAGTTTAAGTTGGTGGGACCAGTTAGGTTTTAAGAAAAAAAACACATGATCTAAATTTTAAAACCTATTGCGTCTTCTCTGTCCTTGTTAGAATTGAGGTGGATGGAATCCCAATACAGCAATTGCATGAGATTTTTACATTAAAGGACCACTCTAGGCACCCAGACCACTTCAGCTGAATGAAGTGGTCTGGGTGCCAGGTCCAGCTAGGGTTAACCCATTTTTTTTATAAACATAGCAGTTTCAGAGAAACTGCTATGTTTATCAATGGGTTAAGCCTTCCCCCTAATCCTCTAGTGGCTGTCTCATTGACAGCCACTAGAGGCGCTTGCGTGCTTCTCACTGTGATTTTCACAGTGAGAGCACGCAAGCGTCCATAGGAACATTATGAATGCTTTCCTATGTGACCTGAATGCGCGCGCTCTTGCCGCGCGTGCGCATTCAGCCCAGGATCGGAGGAGGAGAGCTCCCCGCCCAGCGCTGGAAAAAGGTAAGTTTAACCCCTTTTCCCCTTTCCAGAGCCCGGCGGGAGGGGGACCCTGAGGGTGGGGGCACCCTCAGGGCACTATAGTGCCAGGAAAACGAGTATGTTTTCCTGTTACTATAGTGGTCCTTTAAGTAACCGTTGCTTGATTTATACTGCTATTCTAAAACAAATTATCTGTCTAGCAATATGTTATAAGCATGTCAGACGCACATTAAAAAAAAAAAAAAAGTAACCCGTCCAAGCACGAGCAAAAGTTGTCTTTGTGAAACTGATATTTGTTGAAGTTTCTGCAATTGTAGATCATTGATTTACCTTTTTCAATAAGAAAGCTTCTTTTATCAGACATTTGACTGTATAGAACATGGGTAATGTAATAATTACCAGAATGTAATATTATCTGAGTAGCGTTTTATTGTATTTTTGTCAGCAATGTTATCAGTTGAAGAGAACAGCTATCCCATCTATTGAGTAATACCTACATTTTATGGATCACCTGTCCAATGTCTAATAACCCCTGACCCAGACTAAATAAATGTCTGGAGTTAATAATATTAATAATAATAATAAGAGCCTTCTCCTACATATTTCAGTGGCTGCAAACAAACATAATTTTCAGTTTTACATATAGGATGCTGCTTAAATATTCATAATAGAAGTAGTTTAATGCCGTATTTTAAAAAAAAAAAAAAAAAAAGAGAAAAGAAAATGTATAGTTTGGCAGAATTGCAGCCCTTTACTCCATTGCGTCTGCAGTAGTGTTAGGATTTGGGATCGGGTAACTCTTTTTACTCTTTCAAATTCTTTGTTTCATGTTCTTCGCTAAACAGTGATAAAATATTAAATACTGGATATATTTGATAAACCATTTTATTGTTGTAATTTGATGGCTTTTAGTCTAAAATAGATGAACTGTATATTTTTCAAGTGTAAGGTCTATTTTAGCCTACATATCTTCATATTTACTTGTCTTATTTAGAGCACCCAGGAGAAGCTGTCGAGCAGGGAGAAGAGCATGCAGGACAGATTGCGACTTGGACACTTCACAACTGTCCGGCACGGGGCTTCATTTACTGAACAGTGGACAGATGGCTTTGCTTTTCAAAACCTTGTCAAGTTAGTCTTTTGTTATGGGATTTCTGAAATTCTTTTTGCAAGTGAATGTATTTTTAATGGGAGCCAAATGATGTAATTGTGCTTTACTGGCAGTAATATCTGCTAAGGAAAGTTTGCCTGATCTTTCAGCAGACAATCAACGTGGCATGTTGCAATAGAAATGTTTTTGAAAATCCTTTTGTCTGCAAAGTGCCCTAACTCACGAAAAAAGTGCAGTTGAACTTAGTTGATCTTCCAAGTATCTTTCCTCATATTAGGGCGTTAATTCTGTACCAGTTATTTATCTGAGGAGCACGTCTGGGAACTTGGGGGTGCATTTGCTTCACATGGAAAAATAACAAAAATTTTTTGTTTTTTTTGCTTTAATTCCATCAGTTAGGAACAGTTTGATTCATGACACTATTTCTAGTGCTCTCTATGGTAATTCTGAGATAGAGTAGTACCTTACTTCCTGGAGCACAGATAGAGGCCCTTCCATAACGGAGAGCACACGAATAGCGTGTTCACACATGCTATTAGTGTATATGGGCTGTAATTCTTTTCACCTGAAAACTAGTTAATTCCCTAGACTAGACGCAGAGAACTTAAGCAGTGAGTACACGCCACATTAAGAAATTCTTAGGTTAGAAAGATGAGCAGATCCTTGTGTTTGTGGATCTGGGTTCCGGGTGTTTGATGGAAGAATAAAAAAAAAGATGTTGGAGTATTTTATGTGGCCCATAGCTTTAGTAGAATGCCCTCATTACTTTAATAGGTTTTTTCTAAATTATATATGGTTTTCCATAGTAAGACTTTTTATGGCTCATTTTTTATTTTGGAAGCTGTTAAAAAATGTTATGTGAATTCTAATAAATCATATGTGGGTTGGTAGGTTATTTTAATTGATATTGAAATCTGCACATAACAATGCATCTCTCACCTCTGTGGGTAGAAATAAAAAATTGTGTTTTTGTTGCCTGGATACCACTTTTAAAAAATTTTAATAGTTTTTGTGGGGGGTTTTTTTTGTGTGTATTTCCTGTTCAAGTATTCATGTATATTTACATCTCTTTCACAGACAGCAGGAATGGGTGAATCAACAGAGAGAAGATATTGAGAGACAAAGAAAACTACTGGCCAAACGCAAACCGCCAACAACAAACAACTCTCAGACCCCTTCCGCCAATTCTGAACTAAAGCAGAGGAAAAACAAGGCTGTAAATGGGGCTGAAAACGACCCCTTTTTAAGACCTAGTTTACCCCAATTGTAAGTCATTGTACATCACTTTGTGTTATGTTCCTGAGCTAAAATGTAACTTTTTTAACCAAAATATGTACAATTTATTTATTAATCTACTAGGGTAGGCAATCTCAAGGGGTTTTGTCTCCTCTAGCCTATACACCCAATTATACAGGGCTGAGCATCATCATTATTATTATTATTATTATTATTTATATAGCGCCATCAGATTCCGTAGCGCTGTACAATGGGTCATAAAGGAGTGTGTGTGTGGTGCAATCACAAGCTAAGTGCAAAGTTTAATATTCTGGTGTCAATCACGCATCACACCACTGCCTTATAACTACAAATTATTTGTTTCCTTATTCTACAGGATGTTAAGAGCTGTTTTTTTTTTTATCTCTGATTATTTCCATGTAGAATATTTTTCATGGTTCCATTGTCCTGTATGTTTGTTTTTTTTAAGGATTTTTTTTTCTTCTGGTAACAGCTAAAAACATAATGTCTTGTCTTCGTTGAACTTCAAGCACCCTTTCAGAAATGGTTTTGGCTCTTTTTTTAATTTTTTTGTTGGTTTCCTAAAATTGCCCTCTGGTGTGTTTTGTATTGTATGAATATCAAGATCACAGGCTGGTAGTTCTATGCAGTTTGTTTGTAACCGTAATATCTCCTTTAGAGATTACCTAGGAAATGATTGTCTTTATGTTTAGTTGCAGTTTTTTTTTTTTTTTTGTTATTTACTTGAATCCTTCTGAATTAATATTAGATATTTATGATACGTTTATCATGTTCCAAATATTTTATTTTGATTTTATTGAAAGGCTCGTTGTTTCTATGGATAAAGAGAATTTAAAGCACACTTTGTATGTGATTTGTGTATATTTTTGTTTTTCTACTTAGGTTGACGTTGGCTGAATACCACGAGCAGGAAGAAATTTTTAAGCTGCGGCTAGGACATCTGAAGAAGGTATGAGACTTTATCAGATAAAGTAGAAACTTGCATGTTGCAAGTGGTTGTTATATTTGGCAAGATAAACAACACAACTGCTCAGGTTACCATTTTAATGTGTGAAGCACTTTATTTTCCCACAATATAGATAGAAAATTAGGGAATAAGTCAGTAGTGAATCCTGGCCACTGATATCCACTGGACAAAGAAATGCTGCATGACCGCTCTTGTGTGCCTGGCATTCCTCCAAAGTGCCGTACAAAAGAATACGTGCCCTGGGTAACCAAGGGCACCGCACCATGGGGTTAAAACAAAGGGGCGATTGTGACGGAGTGCCATTATGGAGTGCCATACCCATTCCTGCCCACTTGCTTGTTTGTGTGTTTTTTCCCTAGTATAGTGTGTTTCCCTTCGTTCCTCTTATATTTCGTATCATATGCCCTGTTTACCTTTCGGGAGCACTCATACGTACGGAACACCTTCGTCGCCCGAACGAGGACCACCCTGGTACCCCATTAGTATGTTCACACCAATCAATCAGAACGTTCACAGGAGGCACATAAGTGCTCTTAAAGGAGCCATAATCTCTGTTCCCCTAGCTGCGAGGCTGGGCTCGTAGCTGCCCAGAGAGCACTTCCTCCGGTGCTAACCAAGTAGAGGTATCCACCGGAACGAGACGCGGGACCCATTGAGCGGAGAGTCGACTTCACGGCCGCGGAGTCCCGTTGGCCGCCTGGAAGTCTGTGCTGACCAATAGGAGAAGGAGCTCCGTTTCAAACTGGGTTCGCGCTATTCTCCTGATAGGTCGGCACAAGGGAGCGCCGATTGGATCGCTGCGGGGTGCAGACGACCTATAGGAAAAGGAGCACCCGTTCAAACGGGGTTTTGCGCCCTTTGTCCTTATTGGGCGGCGAAACACCTCTCCTCCCTGTGCCCCGATTGGCCGGAATTGGTTTCACTCCTTTCCCCGGATTGGTCATTGCTTTTTTAGGGTGCAAAGTTTGAATTGACTGGCCTAGACCAAGCAATCCTGTGGAACTAATTTCGGGGTTGTACAGAGCCTCGAGCACAGACTTTGAAAGATTATTTCTCAGGCTCTGTACATCCGATACCCCTGCTATTTGCAGGGGTCCTAGCTGGGACCCAAGGCTACCCAGGGATGTATGTATTGTAGATGTGACCCATTCCCTTCCAGGGACGCGGAGCCCCTATGTGTTCCCCCATATATGTAATGTGCTTTACTGTATGTACTATTGGTATCTCCCAGAGCAGGAGATGATTATCTGTGAAATATCCTCCTCCTGCCTGACACTAAAAGACTTGTACTGAAAAGAGTGGAGACCCCCTGCAGGGGTCTGTGTATAAATTGACTCTACCAATAAAGCATTATGAGTTGCTAGACCCAGAACTGTGAGGCGTCCAGTTACTTAGGGGAGAAAGGGTTAATCCCTGTGCCAGCTTGATGCAGCCGGTGAAGGATGCAGCGGGGTAAGTCCTTGTAAGGACTGAGAAGCTCCCAGGGCGGTGTGCTGTCCAGCCCCTGGGAGTGGATAGAGAGAGTCCCCTACCCGGGCCACAGCTAGGAAGCAGTTCATGGCAGAGGTACCTCTACTCAGCCGGAGTACAGGGAGCTCCGTCACATCTGGTGCTGCATGACCACTTTTGTGTGCCTGGCATTCCTTCAAAGTGCCGTACACAAGAATATGTGCCCTGGGTAACAGAGGGCACTGCACCATGGGGTTAAAGCAAAGGGGTTCCATCAGAAACTAGGACTCTTCTTTCCACCAATAGACCGCCTCCTCAGCAACTGCTGTGTTATGATATGGTAATGATAGGGTGTGAGTGCTGGGATAAATTTTATTTTTTGTTGGTGCTCTCTAGGAATGTTGAATTCACCTAGAAAGCGTCTAGTCCTCCGGCCCTAAATTGATAGCACATTATGCACCTTTTAAATGTTTGCTCAGTTGGTGTATGTAAATCAGTTTTATCATGCTTCTTAAACTTTCTGTGCTTAAAAGTTAAGTAGGTGTGGGAGTTAAAACCATATTTAATGCATGGCGCTCCCCCTAATTTTATTACATATATAATCATTCGTTCCTATTGTTGCCTATCGTGGTATATACTACAATCATTTTGTGGAATACATTGATATCTTTTTCCAGCTAATTGTTATGTATTGGCAAGTAAAAAAAAATGATTTTCATTGTATGTCTCTTTAAGACTTTAAGTCTAGAAATGGTAAATGATGTAATAGAGCAGCTTCTCCAGTTCCTTAATAACATTACACAAGTTGCCAAATGCTATCATATATGAAACTGCCTGAATTGTATCAACAGGTGGTAAATCTATCTGTGTGTGAGCATTGTCCTGGAGAGCAGAATGCTCTGTTTATTTCCTAGGGAGAGTTAAAGCCCACAGCAACAGCCAACTGACTGCATTTTTCCACACAAACGCCAAAACATTAGTTTAACCTTGGCTAAAATGGGATGTACTGGGGTGTTTTCTCTTCATGTTGTCAGAGCATTTCATTTCATTGTGGAATCTTGTCTTTTGTGATCAGTGGCAAGATACATTTGCATAAAGGTACTCTGCTGTGGGATGTCCAACTGCTTTGTTCATCTGCTGTCAGACAACATCTCTCATAATTATGGGAATTGTAATCTGGAAGACCTGAATGCAGGATAAACTATTGTTTAGACCAGGAGTAGGCAAACCTTCACCCTTTCAGATATTTTGGACTACATCTCCCTCTGATGCTTTGTTAGCATTGTGGCTGTAAGAGCATTATGGGAGTTGTGATCCACAACATCTGGAGTGGCAATGGTCATCTATCCATGGTGTAGACATACATTACTTACTCTGTCTACCTTCCCTGATCAGTATATATAGACGTGCCCACATATACCAAATCATATGCATCACAAATTAACTGGATTTATTCCTCTGTGTTACATTGTTACCCAGTTTCTTGGTTTACCATTTGAAAGAACTCTGTGGCGCACACACAGACCATAGAGCAGTAGTGGCTGGCAGGCATTCCTGCTGCTGCTGCTGTTGAAATATCATTATCTATATCCATGCATAGATATACCTAATAAAACAGGGTGGCTACTGCATCTTTGCTACCCTAGTACAAAGACTGTTCAGTTTAAGCAATATGTATCCTTAAATATCGCATGAACGTTTTAAATGGCCACTTACAGCCTAATGGGGTGGCTCTGGTGTAAAAAGCCTGTCCATGCAGCCTCAGCAGTGTAAACCTTTTCTGTGAAAAGGCAGTGTTTACATTGCTGCTCAAGGGTGGCTTCCCATTGAGAGGCATTTAGTCAATTGCTGCATATGTGCATTAGACCTCAATGCTTTGACTGACTGAGATCATCATTAATGATGATCCCAGCCAGGAAAGGAATACACATTTGTACTCCTCATGTTAGTGTTCCTTTAATTCTGTTGTTTTTTTTTTTTTTCTGGGCATTATCCTATTGTCATTCCACTGAATTCCAGTTTATATTCTGTTTACCTTTATTCTTTCAGGAAGAAGCAGAAATTCAGGCAGAGTTGGAACGTTTAGAAAGGGTTCGAAATCTTCACATACGAGAACTTAAAAGGATAAATAATGAAGACAATTCACAGTAAGACATAGTTTGCAATATGCAATTTTACAATGTGGTTGTTTGTGCAGTTGTGTTTTATTTTGTGTTTTTTTTTCAAAAGTTGTAATGTATGTGATTTGCTTCTTTGGTGGACCCTTACACTATTTATTTTATGTATTTAAAAAATATATATAAAAAGAAACTGTAAATGGTTGCAAGTATGCTTTGTAGCAAGAGATCACTGTTAAGCTTGGGCAACATCAAATGAGATTAAAAATTTTTCGGTGGAGGAGCTGTCTTTTTTTTTTTTTTAATTTTTTTTTTTAACTTTCGTGTATTCTGTTAAAGTGGCTTTGTCACCCCGTAAAGTATTATGAAATACTGACATTGACTGTGTTGGAATTTCACAGTCAAAAGATATACTGAGACAAAGAACTAGGACTACTTTGAGTATTTTTTACTACACTTGACAAAGGTTGAGAAAAGACAGTTACCTCTTGTCAAGCTTATCATTTCCCAGTGACGGCTGTAGAGGGGTAAATAAACTCTTTTTATTGCGAATTTCTTGGATCCTCTATAAACCTCAATGCTCTACTCTTGCGAGTGTACGAGGGTACTATGGTGTTGACTTTGGCTTTTGGCAGAGAAGCACCAGGAGCTGAAGAGGACCAGACAGAAGATGGTGGCAATGCCCACGAGGGACAGATGCAGGTAAGTATACCCTACCTTTTTTCCCTGCACTTTCTAAATTGTCAAAAAAATATTAGAACCCAGACACACGCAGCACTTTATCAAGCTTAAGGGGTCTATGTGTCTGGCGTGTTCCTTTAAACGCCAAGAGATCAGAGTTACATCTTAACTTGATACATTCCCATCTGCCATGTAGTATAATCCCTGTTCTTCTCCTGTAGCACTTAATCATAACTTCCAAGTGATTGAACTAGGTAGCCAATTTAAAAAAAAAAATATATATATATATATATATATATATATTTTTTTTTTATTATTTATTTCCCTAGTTTGCCCGTTTTGGATTAAAAGTGGCTTTTTTTATGGGCCAGCTCTCTCCAATCCATGTTTAGTGAATAATGCATAGAGCCTTATAACTGATATTGCATTTACACAATAAAAATAAAAGACCACATTTTATTTTAGATTGTGAAAAAACCTTATGATAACACAGATTTGTGAATATCTTCAGTACACTACTTTCCAAACGTTTATGTATAAGAATTTTCTTTTCTTTTTTTTTTTTTTTTAAATTTAGTTTTTTTTTCTCATGTCAAAGGTGCATGCGTATTCTTCAATTTCATTCCATGTAATTTAACTGTAACTATACAAGAATTCTTCTACTGGCAAAGATTTATGATGGGTTTCCAAAGCCCTCTGTATGATGCAAACTGGACCATTGTCAGATACATGGCTTTTGTAACCGTAAGCATTTTTGCTGATTATTTGTATGTACCTTACATTAATCACTTTAGATTACTGACCTGCATTCTGCTACTTTCAGATTTAAAGATCACCCTACGTTGAATGAACGTTATTTATTACTTCATCTACTAGGTCGAGGTGGTTTTAGTGAAGTGTACAAGGTAAGTTGATTTAAAATTACAGTCTATTGAAAGCTTTTTAATCCACTTTAAGCATGTATTTAAAGATTAACATTTGACTCTGAGAATTTGTGGTTTACAGTTTGTGTCTAAAGATCAGTGACTTTTAACATATTGCTGATCTTAAGCCAGGTCCTGTAACTGCAATTATGCTTTTTAGAATCTATGAATCATGTGTGATTAGAGGCCCATTTACATTTTTACATCACAAAACGATTGGTTATAGCTGAGAATCCTGTCTTGTTTACATCCTTAACCCCTTAAAGGACCACTCTAGGCACCCAGACCACTTCAGCTTAATGAAGTGGTCTGGGTGCCAGGTCCCTCTAGGATTAACCCATTTTTTTTCTTTTATAAACATAGCAGTTTCAGAGAAAACTGCTATGTTTATAAATGGGTTAATCCAGCCTATAAAGCCTCTAGTGGCTGTCTCATTGACAGCCGCTAGAGGCGTTTGCGTGCTTCTCACTGTGAAAATCACAGTGAGAAGACACCAGCGTCCATAGGAAAGCATTATGAATGCTTTCCTATGAGACTGGCTGAATGCGTGCGCAGCTCTTGCCGCGCATGCGCATTCAGCCGGAGAGGAGGAGGAGAGCTCCCCCTCCCGGCGCTGGAAAAAAGGTAGGTTTCCTTTCCTCGCCATCCAGCTTGGCGGGTGGGGAACCCTGAGGGTGGGGGCACCCTCAGGGCACTGTAGTGCCAGGAAAACGAGTATGTTTTCCTGGAACTATAGTGGTCCTTTAAGGACACATGACATGTCATGATTCCTTTTTATTCCAGAAGTTTGGTCCTTAAGGGGTTAAAAGAGAAGTGCTTTTCAAGTTAAAGGACCACTCTAGGCACCCAGACCACTTCAGCTTAATGAAGTGGTCTGGGTGCCAGGTCCTTCTAGGGTTAACCCATTTTTTCATAAACATAGCAGTTTCAGAGAAACTGCTATGTTTGTGAATGGGTTAAGCCTTCCCCTATTTCCTCTAGTGGCTGTCTCATTGACAGCCACTAGAGGCGCTTGCGTGCTTCTCACTGTGATTTTCACAGTGAGAGCACGCAAGCGTCCATAGGAAAGCATTGTAAATGCTTTCCTATGCGACGGGCTGAATGCGCGCGCAGCTCTTGCCGCGCGTGCGCATTCAGCCCAGGAGGCGGAGAGGAGGAGGAGAGCTCTCCGCCCAGCGCTGGAAAAAGGTAAGTTTTTACCCCTTTCCCCCTTCCAGAGCCGGGCGGGAGGGGGTCCCTGAGGGTGGGGGCACCCTCAGGGCACTATAGTGCCAGGAAAACGAGTATGTTTTCCTGGCACTATAGTGGTCCTTTAATCTAATTTGTTTTGACTTTTAATACCTTTTTTTTAACCTAATTATTATTTTTTCTTTTTCACCTTTTGTCATATTTAATCTTTTTGATACAATATTTGAAATAATGGAGCCATGATGCAATTAGATAATTTCTGTTATTACCATTGTCAGATGCAGAAATTCAATTGAAGGATAAATTTACTCTACACCCACTGAATAGCAAATAATTGTACATTGTGCATGAAATAAAATGTACTGGTTACTGGTATCTGTGGCATCCATGTTTTAACTGGAATTTAAAACCAAATTTGCAACTCTAGTTAATTACCCTCTCTCTATTTCAATATTTTCATCATGCTTTGATTTATCAAACTTTGATCTCTTCTTGTACAAAGTATATCTATTTTTTGTATTGAGGATTATATTCTGTGAAAGAATGTCTTTTAGTGCTTCATAGATAAGTGTGATACAGAGGTCAGTGTAATTTAGAGTGCTGAAGGAATGACTCACTCACACGTATCACTGGCTTTTTTTTCTTTTTTATATGAGAGCCAAGATAAACATAGATAATAATAAAAAAAATAGAGATACAAATGCAATTGAGATTGCAAAATACAAAGATTCTGATTTCAGATCTGCTTGCTGCCATACGTTCTATTGATGTCTTCCAGAAAAAAATTCGTTTTCACATGTTTCCAACAAGTTGTGTACTGCCTCCAATGCCCAGAGAATGCTCAAAATTCAAAAGTCCTGCACAGTCAGCCATGTTACTACGACACTTTACACTGCTTTCTAAAAGTCGCAATGCTCATGTATCCTCTCCGTTGTGTTAGCCAACATCTGCCAGGGATTGCTTAGATGAAATATCCATTCTCTTATCATCATATTAAAGCGGCACTGTCATGACCCTGTGAAATTCCCGTGCATGCCCAGTTAAACACTTGGGCATTCGCTATTGTCCGAAATTCGGACGGGTAGTTCAGGTATTCGTACATTCGTCAGAAAGACGAATAAATTAATAGATATTTCAAACAAACGTCTTTGTTCATTTCTTTAGCTTATTACAAGGAGGGGACCACCGGCTTGCGGTAATATGTAAAAATAGAAGTGACAAGGGGCATTGCCTACTTACTGTCCCTCACACCCCTGTCCCCACCTATGAGTGGCGGGTAGGGGCCCTAAGTGACAAGTGGGTGGGGGGGACCTACTGCCTCTACCTATGAGCGGTGAGTGGGGGCCCTAAATGACAATGTTGGGACCTATTGTGTCCCCAGCCCCCTCCCATTGGTGACGGGGTTTGATGTAAAAATAACCCCTCCTCAGGTGACTAGGGGTCCCCAAGCCCCACACTTTTTAAAAAAAAATTTATTTCCTCTCTAAAACCTTCTTTTTTCGGCCTCCAATTAAGGCTAACCAAAAAGCCACTAATCCCGTCAAACTAATAAAATAAAAAAGGCCTGATAGCAAGCAAAAAAACAAGCGAAAAAAAAATCCAGATGCTAAAATATAATCCATCGTCACCCATCGAAGGCTGAGCTCCGCAGGGTGGGGTAAGCTTTATAAACCATTCCCAGGCCCCACAATTTGACTCAGAGCACTCTGATTGGTTGGCTTAAATCTTGAGCCTTTCTTGGGGCCCCCATCTGCCCACTAATCCCCCATTTAGTTTAATAGCCCCCACTCACGGTTAATTATTTTAATACTTTGCCCACTATGGGGCTTTTTATTGGATATGGGGGAGGGGGATGAGTAATGCACAATTTAAAATAAAGATGTACTTTAGGTTAACTAAAATCTTGTATATAAACACTTAAAGGGACACTGCAGGCACTTCTGCTCATTGGAGTGGTCTGGGTGCCAACTCCCACCATCCTTAACCCTGCAAGTGTAATTTATTGTAGTTTTTATAAACTGCAATAATTACCTTGCAGGGATAAGTCCTAGAGGGACTTTCGTGTTCTTAGAACACGAAAAGTGTTTTAAATGACGCTGGACTTCCTCACGCTGTGAGGACCTCCAGTGTCGCCGAAATCCCCATAGGAAAGCATTAAATAAAGCTTTTCTTATGGGAACGTCTAATGCGCGCGTGCAGCCATTGCCTCGCATGTGCCTTAGGTCTCCCCCGCCGGCTGGCAGCTGCGGGGGAGGAGAGTAGGCGGAGCCTGACCCAGTGCCAAGGGACAAAGGGACATTGGCGCTGGACTCGGGTAAGTCTGGCACTGGAGAGTCCCTTTAGGTATTGGAATTTGTTATATAGATTTAACACTGAAGACGTTTTTTAAAAGCACACTGTTTGCATACAAAACAAGAAACTATTTTAGAGTGTTTACTTGTTTCTATAATGTTTTTAAGAAGGTATTTTCTTTTAAACATACTAACAACATAGTTTTACTCACGTGCTGTTTGTCAGGCTAGGTGCATGAGCTAAAATCATCTTCATTCAGCTGCAGTTGTTGGAGTGACAGTCTCTAAACTGCTACTACAGTGAGAGACCTTCACTTTGACATGAGCTCACTACAGCAGACCTGATTAGAGACCCCTCTATAAAATTAAAATAAAGCCAAATTAATCTCTGAGTGCACCAGAGGTGCAGCCTGTATGTTTCAAACTGAAGCATGTAGGACTCTTGCTCAAGATAAAAATGACATGTATTTTAAAACGTCAATTGGCTAATTTGAAACAAAACAGAAGGGGGCTGTCCGGTTGGAATATTGGTAGCACTAATTGGAACTCTGGTAAGAATAATATGATGTGATTAGTCCAATAGCTCTGATTTGTGATCTGTAATATTTAACCAATTATAAACCGACCTGCTGTGCAGATTTCTAAAACCAGGACAGGAGTAAAAAAAAAATGGGACAGTCTGCAACTATATAAAAAGTGCATTACATTTTAGCTCTGTGCTGGTGCATTTTTTATTTTTATTAAAACTAGATTTTATTACAATATAAATGTGACTTGGGAGAAAAATGAAAACTCAGCCAAGCAGAATTTATGTTAAATATATCCAATATCCAATCCAATAGTTAATATTTTTTACTTCTTTTCCTTCTAGGCTTTTGATCTTTATGAACAGAGATATGCTGCTGTGAAAATTCACCAACTTAACAAAAGCTGGAGGGACGAGAAGAAGGAGAACTACCACAAGTAAATACGTCACTCCCCTTTTATAATACAGCTTGTCACTCAGCTCTGCATGTGAATTAACCTGTCTGTTTGTTTTAGGCATGCCTGCCGAGAGTATAGAATACACAAAGAACTGGATCATCCCAGAATAGTTAAGCTGTATGATTACTTTTCCTTGGATACAGACACGTAAGTTAAAAAAAAAAAAAAAGAACCCGTGTGTTTTTTTTTGTTGTTTTGTTTTTTCCCCTCACATTTTAGCTTCAGATTTTAATATTTTATTTACTTATGCCCTTTATTTAACCAATATGTGTATGTGAGGTCTCAAAAATATGAAATGTGCAAATCTGAACCAATGTATTTTCTGCCATACTGGAACATAGTGCATCCAGCTTGGGTCCCTATACATTAATTCATATAAGGTCTGCCCTCAGCGTAGGGAGACTGAATGCCAAGTTCTTGTAACGGTGATTAATAGGAAGCCGACATGGAGGGGAAATGTGACCTTACTGTGCCTGGACTGTACTTGATTGTGATGTCTGTTGTTTATAAAGAGACAACATATTCCGCAGCGCTGTACAATAAGTGGACTAACAAACAAGTAGTTGCAAACAAGATAAGTTGGACATACAGGAAGAGAAGGTGCTGAGGGCCCGGCTCAAACCAGCTTACATTCTAATTATTATACATTTAAGAGAAAATGGGGCATGACATAATAAGAGTGTTATACACTTTACAATATCCACAATGATTTTAGTGTTTTATCCAAAAGTGTAATTATAGGAACACTGCAATGCCCAAAATGGGCAAAAAAATAAATCACTGTTTAGGAGATACACCCCCAATAAATCCATGCATGGATTTATCAGGGATATATCTTAAAAGAACTTGCAAAGGCACAGATCTTATGAACTGCAGCCTTAGCAAGCCCTTCCCATTTTTCCCAAAGGAGACTTTCATTCTCTTTACAGGGAAATAAACTTCTCATTGAATAGCCTCTAAATTGGTGCCCACGTTCTGTGCGCACCGGCTCACGCACGGACACGCACTGTTATCTGTGCGTTCCGGTCTGGAAGAGCTGGTTTGAGGTCTGCTTGGGGAGCTAACAGGCATAGGAAGGAAACATCACTGGCTGTTTGACAGCTTGCACTTTTATAAACTGGGGTTAAACTAGGATACTCCTCACCCATAAAACACTGCAGCAAGCTTTTGGGGTGTGGAGTGGTCTTTTAACAGAGAAGTGAATGTAACCCTTTAAGCTTCGATTTCAATTATTAATTTATAGTCTTATCTTTTTGCTTATCTTTTGGGAATGTAATAAATCTCACTTATTTAATTTTGTCCCCACTGCCCAGTTTTTACCATCATCATAAGAAGGTATTCCTAGTAAAACTAAACATTTAAAGAACAGAACGACAGGTTTGAAGGAATACGAGATAATAATAATAATTTGTTTATTATTTTCGTGTTTTTAATTATATATTTATTAGAACTCTCTTAACACCTTTATGACTGAGCCTTTTCCCAAATGCTGTAATTTTGTGACCGATGCCTTTTTGGCATTTTTGTGTTTTGTATTCCACTGTAATTTGACACTTTCCCTTAAAATGTACATATATATATATATATATATATATATATATATATATATATATTGTGACGAAATGCCTTTTGTCCCTGGATTGTTAGGTGACAAGCTGCCCTTTGCCCCCGGCTTTTGGAGGAGCCTGATTGCCAGCCTCCTTCCTCATTAATATGGCCCTGGGGTGTATTGCCATTTAAAAAGACTATTTGGGGCTTATTGGCTTCTAAAGACAGTTTCTTCCCATTGGAATCCATGGGAAGGTGTGTTTCTTCCCCTCCCCCGTTTCCTGTCTATTGTTCACCTAGATTGGGCGCTCAGATCCGAGTTATCTGGGGATAGGTTAAATGTGGGGGTTCTGTGTAATAAAATAAGAATTATGTATTTTCATGTACTTTTACGTATTTTTGCTGTTAGTGTTAAATGTAGATATTTTCTGTACCTGGAGATAATTGAGTTTACTGCAGTGCCTTAAGCCAATTATCTCCAGGATGGAGAGGAGGGATTTCATTGTGTATGTGAGAGTGTTATCATGTTAATTAGTGTTCCCATTGGTTTGTGTCCCTTTTGTCACAGTTTACCACCAGGTCCAGGGGGTGTGCCTCTGACCTGAAAACTTGTATATAAGCAGTAATAAACGCTCATTGGAGTCAGATCATCTTGTACCTTCATGAAGTTTCGGCTCATGTTTGGGGGATTGGAGAAACTACACTCTGGGGATTGCTATAATCACTATACTCCCCAGGGTATAATCACTAAGCTCTGCTAAGAGCTTGTTCCTGTTCCTGCTCTCTGGAATTCGGAGAGAGGTCGACCTGCTGGAAGCTGGACCCTGGTCCTGGGTCCAGAGTGGGTGGAGACGGCGAGACCCCAACCAAGCTGCGGCGGTTCGTGGGGTCTGCAGTGGTTATGGTGTCAGGCAGAGTGCTTGGAGTCCTCGGAAAGCACTAGGAGCATCCGTCGGCGGAAGGTACCCGGTCGGGGTGCCAGCGGTTCCGTTACAGTGGTGGCAAGCGGTGGGATGGCGTCCTAGTGCGAGGTAAAGCAGCTCGGAGACACAGTTCGTGGATTTACAAATTGAGAGCAACGCTAGTACCCGTACAGCGACCCTATCTACAAAAGAACTAACTTCAGCAGCGCAAGCATGGCACCCAGCTACACTCAGGAGCAGTATGACAGAGAGTTTACCATGCGGCTGGCTTTCTTTGGACCCAACCCCCCGGAGAAATACGTGCAGCTCGTAAGGAGCCAGGTAGACGAGTACCTGCAGTTCATGGCAGATCCAGCCAAAGGTATCGGCCGCCCTATCCGGTGGCAGAGTGCGTTACGGGGACTCAAAGGTGTACCCCAGGGAGCTGAAGGTGTTGTCCTTCCTCCCCAGCGGCAGAGTAAGTCCCAGGGAGCTGAAGGTGCAGTCCTTCCTCCCCAGCGGCAGTGTGTATCCCAGGGAGCTGAAGGTGCAGTCCTTCCTCCCCAGCGGCAGTGTGTATCCCAGGGAGCTGAAGGTGCAGTCCTTCCTCCCCAGCGGCAGTGTGTATCCCAGGGAGCTGAAGGTGCAGTCCTTCCTCCCCAGCGGCAGTGTGTATCCCAGGGAGCTGAAGGTGCAGTCCTTCCTCCCCAGCGGCAGTGTGTAACCCAGGGAGCTGAAGGTGCCGTCCTTCCTCCCCAGCGGCAGTGTGTACCCCAGGGAGCTGAAGGTGCCGTCCTTCCTCCCCAGCGGCAGTGTATATCCCAGGGAGCTGAAGGTGCCGTCCTTCCTCCCCAGCGGCAGTGTGTACCCCAGGGAGCTGAAGGTGCCGTCCTTCCTCCCCAGCGGCAGTGTGAGTCCCAGGGAGCTGAAGGTGCCGTCCTTCCTCCCCAGCGGCAGTGTGTACCCCAGGGAGCAGAAGGTGCGTCCTTCCTCCCCAGCGGCAGTGTGTATCCCAGGGAGCTGAAGGTGCGTCCTTCCTCCCCAGCGGCAGTGTGTACCCCAGGGAGCTGAAGGTGCAGTCCTTCCTCCCCAGCGGCAGTGTGTACCCCAGGGAGCTGAAGGTGCCGTCCTTCCTCCCCAGCGGCAGAGTGTCCTGCAGGGAGCAGAGACCGTCAGTCTCGCACCCCAACCACAGGACAAAATAATGAAAGGGGAGACAGCTGGTCCCCCTCTCCACCAGCAGAGAGAGTGTCAGGGAGAGGAGCCTGATACCCCTTCTCCCCAGCGGCAGTTTACAGTTCAGAGAGAGGAGCTTGTTACACCCTCTCTCCAGCGGCAGCCTAACCCAGCAAGGGGAGATGTTACACCCCCAACAGTGCAGATGGGACTGTAGTCTCTGCACTTACAGCACAAGGGGTAGGGACAGTCGGTCCTGTTCCCCAGCCACAGAGCGGTGTATCCAGAGGGGAGACAGTCGGTCTCTCCCTCCCACAATCAGGCTCCCACCAGGCTACTTCCGTGGTAGCACTGGCATCAGGGCAGAGTACTGCTGGTCTCTGCCCACTCAGCAACCCACCAAGGCAGCCTAACAATTGCCCACACAGTCGTGGTGAGGCACCTGGACATGGACAAAGTTCTCCTCTACCCAGGTGTAGTAACCAGTTATTGTGGGTGGGCTGTACTGCTGTTTCTGTTTTGTGGGTGGGTTGCTGGACTAACCAGGGCACTGACCGGCAGGAGGTCAGATACCCTGTTAGTCTAGTTGGTAAAGGGGAGAAGTGTGGCGAAACCAACCTCGCCACTGTGAACTGGAGAAGCCTGGTTGCTCGCCTGCTCCCTTTGGACTATGGCCCTGCAGGTTAAACCGTTTTTTTCCCCTGCAGAAAGGCTTATTTGTGTGATCTGAGTGCCATTCATCTAATAATGTGCACTCAGATCCCAGCTATCTGGGGATATGTGAAATGTCTGTGTGTTATGTGTAAATGTGACTTTATGTATTTTAAAGTGTTTTGTGTCTTTTTGCAACCATGTGCTTAACCAGGCTACTTCCGTGGTAGATAATTGAATTACTCTCCAGGATAGAAGACTCTGAAACTAGGTTTGGGCCAGAAAGCCATGCTTCATTTAGTCACAAAGGACTTTCCCTTAACTTTTGAACCCCTGGTCTGATTCGTGCCATTTTTTAATATGTTGTTCCCCTGAATGGATTGATTATGAAAATGTATGTTTTATGTTTGTGACATGTATATTTTAGAAGTTAGAAATATTGTGTAAAAACTGTATTCCTCTGCCGGTGATAATGAGATTACCCATTGTGTTCAGTAATCATATCACCTGCAGAGGGGAGGATTTTGTGTGGGAGTGTCTGGGTGTATTGTACGGATTGATTGGTTGTTTTGTAACGCCCTGTGGGCTGTACTATGTTTGTGGATTGGGAATAAAAGAGACTGTATGTGACAGTACAGGGAGTTCCTGTTTTAACCCTCAAAGTGAAGTGTCGTCTCATTATTGGGGGAAGGATTTATTGTATGCTGTTCCAGTTTGACTGCTAGGAGAGTAAACCTATTCGTATGGTTCCTATTCAACTGTCTACAGCATTCAATGCTTGAGAGGATTCATATGCTTCTCCGGTTCGGTGGTTGTGGTGTCTGCTGCAGTGCTTGGAGTCCTCAGGAAGTGCTAGGAGCATCCTTTAACGGAGGTACCCAGTCGGGGTGCCAGGCTTAATCCAAGCATATATATGTGCGTGTGTGTGTGTGTGTATATATGTATATATATATATATATATATATATATATATATATATATATATATATATATATATGTGTGTGTGTGTGTATATATATAATAATTTTTTTTTTTATATTTTAAAGGATGGTGACCACTTTCTTCGGTTCTTCTGATACCGTTTATGTCTATTTAACACTAGTACTAATACTAGTACTTAATACCAGTTGTGAACAAAATACTAAAAAAGTGGTATAAGCGGAATTTTGCTCTTTCTAACTTATTGCTGATTGTCCTGATGGTGAGGTAGTCCAGCGATAGCCAATTAAGAGCTTATCCCAATATGCACTGTGGCAGCCGGGCATCAGCTGTCAATCCTACTATAGGACCACTGTGAGAGGCTGAGCCTGATAGGCATGGTGCTCACAGGTACGGCTGTCTCCACGATTGCCTGCCTTGTGGAACCTCTATATAGCTGTTTCTGTGACGCCTTACTACTGAGGTATCCAGAAATAACAAAATCGCTGCAACACCGTGATCACTGTGATCTAAGGGCCACTTACACCCAGTCTGTTTGTGGTTTGCACGAAGTTCAGAACTGACCGTTCTGTAGGGACTCAGGCAGGAAGGGGTTAACATCTGTCTCTGTAAAGTTTATTTTTGTACCAACAGGTGGGCAAGCCCCTTTAATATTTTAGCAGCTAAAACGTGAAATGCTTATTGATGTGTGCCATTTGACTGGGGCCTTGAACGTTAATATTTCTCTTTCCAGTCCTTATAAAGAAATATAACCTATTTGCTGCAAGTGAAAAAGTTTTATGTTTTATGCAATTCAGACGTATCATTTACTAATTTATTGTTCTGTTTTGTTTTTGTGTTGCAGGTTTTGTACAGTGCTAGAATACTGTGAAGGCAACGACCTTGACTTCTATCTAAAACAGCATAAGTTAATGTCGGAAAAAGAAGCTCGGTCTATTGTAATGCAAATAGTCAATGCACTACGTTACCTCAATGAGATTAAACCTCCCATCATCCACTATGATCTAAAGCCAGGTAAACATCAAGCACCTGCAATAAATTTGCTGCTTTTTTTCCCCATCGATAAAGCCATCTGCCCCTGTTGAGGCCATTAACCTTACTAGTAATATATTGAGTAAGGTCTAACTGTGCGACGCGTTCTACATCCACATTCCATTGGTTTTAAGGTGATTGCTCTGTGTTAAAAGTTTGCCCTTGAAGTTTGTTTATGCACAACCTCCAAAGTATTTTGTGAAAGTGTTTTGTGTGCTCACTAAATATTAACCGGGTTATTTACTAAAAGGGAAAGTTGGCTGGAATGAATAGTGAATTTCAAAATTTAGGCCAAAGTAACCAAATTAGAAAGAAATTCTGTTTTAATTCTTTTTTTTTTTTTTTTTAAGCCTTAAATTTGAAATCCACTTTCAGGGTTATTTACTAAAGTTAGAATTGTCAGAATTTCAAAGTGAATTCAATTAGAGTTATAAAAAGTCAGGTATGCTTCCATACGTCGGCCTTAAATTTGAAATTCCTTTTGGATTCCCGGCAATTGTCACTTTAGTAAATAACTCTGTTTGAATATACTTCAAATTCTCATTAATGCTCACTTTAATGAATACCCCTGTAAGACTTAATAAAGTTATTAACCTACATCTCTTATGTAATGTTTACTACAGTTCCATGAGAAAATATCGTTTTTTTGAGCAGAAGGGAGAGGGGCTCACAGACTCTTTATTCGTTATGTACAGACAGGGTCATTAAAGGTTGAATTGTTTGTTATGCAAAATAAATCTCAAATATTAACTCTAAACAGCAAAAATTAACATAACTGGTTTAGGTATTTATTTATTTTTAAATTTGGCTATTTTGCGCTAAAATTAAGTCAATTAATCCATATTAATGTTGGTATTAATTCTTGATAGTCAAGCTTAATTCAAATGACCGTATCATTTAGAGAATTTAAAGAGTTAACCAATTACGAACCAACCTATATAATCAGAACAAACTGCTCTTAAAGCACCTTATTAATAAAAAAAAAAATTGTATTTCAATGAATGACTGCACAGGGACATGCATTGCTGTCATAACTCTACAAGGACTAGATTTGGGTGACAGCAATATGTATCACAGGTGGTCCTAACTTGTTCCAATATTCGCTACAGTTTACCCAGGGTATTGTGCAGAATTTATTACTCTAATTCAGAGGTAGTCAACCTTCAGAACTCCAAATGCAACGGACAACATCTCCTGTAATGCTCTTACAGCTGTAATGCTAAAGCATCAGGGGAGATGTAGTCCCCAACATATGGAGTGCAGAAGATTACCTACCCCTGCTCTAATTGCAAGCTCAGTATCCAACCGGTGGAGTAAAACTGATTTATGAAGTGTCTGCTCTTCCCTGCAGGTTTATACTCCAGTATTAGAATTATTTTAATTGAGCGGTATAGATCTGTGTTGATATAGTTTTGCATTTCATCCCAAAAAGTGTGAAATAGTAATAATTACTTTGCATAGAATGGGCATGGGTGACATGGATAATACTTGAAGTGCCAGTTACCAATCATTAGCTCACTCCACTGGCATCCTTATGGTTAATATGCGTGTATTTTTTGTGGAATAGTCCCTGGCACCAGGTTGAAAGCACACTTGTTCATGAGAAAATGTATTTTTCAGGAAACATCCTTCTTGTTGATGGGACAGCATGTGGAGAGATAAAAATTACAGACTTTGGTCTGTCCAAAATAATGGATGATGACAGCTATGGTGTGGATGGCATGGATCTTACCTCCCAAGGGGCAGGAACATACTGGTGAGTGAATCCACTAATAATAGCAATAGTAATTTTAATGGAATCTTACACAAAAATGTGTAAAAGTGCACTCTTTAACCATACATTAGCTGCCAACACTGTTTATTTATTTTTTTTGTAATTGTTTGTTGCGGAATGCTGGTCTTAAACTGCATTACTGCAGTTCACACTTGGATCACAGCTTTTTAAATTGGATCACATTTCATGGTTCAGATTTAAATCCAAGATGTGCAAGGAGCTGTCTTAAGAAAGGTTTCATTGACAGTACTGGTCTGGGTAAATAGCAGTGCAAAACTATGTAACCAAGCCTGATAAATCAAACCTGACACAGAACGCATCGGTTTAAACATTGCAAAGTTCACTTTTTTTAGTGGTGGACTGGAATAAAGTCATTGTGAAATATGCATCTGCTGTGGCATGGTTATATTGCTCTGCCACTAGTTTATGGGATATATGTAGCAAAGCTGTTGCAAGTACTTTTCTTCATGGAAAAAATTGGCTGAATGTACTTGAACTACAGCTTTAGTTACGCTTTTTACATGCACGAGTATAGCTGCTGTACAAAAATCTGTAGGAGTACTAGGGCAAGTTATTTAGGATTAAGTTAGGACATTGAGGGAGTGACACACAGTTACAGGGGGGAAAAAACACGGTGAACTATAATCTGTGCAAGTCTCGCAGTGACTATTTCTGTAGTTTGGATAATGTTTAGCTAAAATAGCTTTTCTGCATTTCAAGCAGTTTTGCCTGTAGCTAGAAGGTAATAAACATTCACTTTACTTGTATGTTGTTTCTGATTTCATATTTTAACTTGTTTAGGTATCTCCCACCAGAATGCTTTGTGGTGGGTAAGGAACCACCAAAGATTTCAAATAAAGTAGATGTGTGGTCAGTTGGAGTCATATTTTTCCAGTGTCTTTATGGACGGAAGGTAAGAAATGCTTGTTTCATTAATTACTTTCACTAAAAAGGAAGCAAAACACTGTAGCTTCTGGGCGTTTCATAAAATGCTAGTTCAAACTCCAAATTGAATTTAATTCCCAAACCAACAAGATACACTATGATTCCCATCCATTATTATCTTTGGGATCAATTTAACATGGCACATTAGCTTCATTTTACTCCCCATATCTTTGTCATGAGATATCTTGGTCACTTTAATTAAAATAATTATTTCATCACATATACTGATAAATTATGAGCACTGCAAATGTGTTAAAGTGTTTTATATTCTGTTATATGTTATTTTGAGCAATTTTAGGCAAAGTTCTGTTATTTGTCTCTATGATGTTACCTGTGCATTTTATGTTTGAATTCAAAGGTTTTTTTAAAGAGATACTACACTTCCACTGTTTGGAGTGTACATTGAATTCAAATCAATAAATACATTGGAAAAATATTGAAACATAGCCTTGAGGTAAATTACAATATTTTTGTTTTGTTCTTTTCTTTCTCTTCAGCCATTTGGGCACAATCAATCTCAGCAAGATATTTTACAAGAAAATACGATATTAAAAGCCACAGAAGTTCAATTTCCTGTGAAGCCTGTTGTAAGCAATGAAGCCAAGGTAACATGCTAGCCGAAACCTGAATTTAGAATTAGATACCTTTTGAATAAAATGTAACTGAATGCTAGAGAAATGCTCTCTGGTGAGTTTGAAAGTAACTTTTTTTTTTTTTTTTTAATGGAGGTCTTTATATGATGCCAAGTTAAAATTGTGAATACGTAGTTTTATTATGAGACTTAAGCTTGACACATAGTTAAAAATATAAATTGGAACTATGGGTGATCCAGTCCACTTACAAAAAACAAACCAAAAAAAACAAAACAATAAAAAACTATCCTAGAAAAATCAATCGCAGATATATAGATAGAGCATTATACTTGTATGTGAGTGGCTATGGATTCATTTAGCAGCATCATATACTTTATGCGTGAAGTTAATAATTTATGATACATCACTTGGTTAAGAAGTCGCCTCAATTATTTTAGTAGTGTGTACATGTGTGCGAAATGTTTGTAGGTTTACAGAGACCATGAAGGGGATGAGTTTTCTCTTCTGTTTTTGTTGCTCACTTTATCAATAGCAACATTGTACAAGTCTTGTAAGCTCTTCCATGGTTGTACTACATGTGCATGCCACGTCAGGTAGTGTGCGACTAATGATTCCCCTATACCAGGATTCTACAAATTCTAATGATTCCCCCATACCAGGGTTCTCCAAATTCTAGTGATTCCCCTCTACCAGGGTTCTCCAAATTCTAATGATTGCCCTATACCAGGGTTCTCTAAATCCCGATTTTGCCGAACTACAACTCCTATGACTCTTTGGCTGTATGTTTCATTCAAAGAATCATGGGAGTTGTAGTTTAGCGACATTTAAAGGACCAGAGTTTGGTTCTATGTGTGTACATTTAATAAAATAATATTGCACCTTGGCCATACAAGGATTAACAAACCGCATATGTTAAAACATTTTTTATTGCAAAGCGAAAATCCAATCTCTCGTTTGAAAAAAACAAAAAACGACTTTCTATGCATCAATGCTTTACCTAAACAAAACAGACTGAACCCAAAGGGACTCATTTTGGAACCCTAGACTTCCATTGTATTGTTCAGATCCCAAGCATGGCAGCTACTGGGGTAATATTATCTCTCCAGTAGATAATTTAAGGATCTTACAATTTAAAACTCTTAAAGGGACTCTATATGCTAAATATGGTCCGTCTATATGATCGCCTACCCTCTTATCACCGATTGACAGACTGCTGTGTAATGCGCAGTGCAGGGACTGGATTTCACCTGGGTTAAAGTAACTGTGGCAGAAAGCTCGGGAATTAAATGCACCAGGAAAATGATAGTGAATTTTCAATGCAGGGCAATATTGGCAGGCACTTGCAGAATTCAGAAAGTCCTTCCAGGAGGTGGACTCATTAAATTTTGCCATGAGCTGCCTGGGAGGCTGAACAGGCTCACAAATCCCCAGGCAACCTGGGATTTGTAAAACCCTGTCCTATGCTGCTAGCCATAGTATGCTCATCAGGGGAGAATATCTACTCTCTAGGACAACTTTTTAACTTGTCAGTGGTGCATGGAAATTTTGAGCTCTAATGAAAATACCTGATAAAAATGAGACCAAAAACTACAAAATGAGCTTAAGTTGTGTGGGTGCCAACTGTACCCCTTTAAACATATTACTAAGACTTGCACTGTGAACCTGTATATCACAAAGACTGTGGCTTGAAGTGGGCACTTACTACCTGTAGATATTATTGTAGACAATCTCACTGCTGAGAAAAAGGTAGACCTAATTTTTTGTATTTAATACAAACTGAGAATAATGTAAAAAAAAAAAATGCAGTAAATTGCTTCTACATAACTTTTTGCAGTCTGGTCAATATATTTTATACATGTCTGAAATACATGTAATTGTTATCACTGAATCTATAGTACCCTGCAAAAATTGTATTGCCTTCCTTTACTTGGTTCTTTGACATGGTACCAAGTATGTTGACAAGGTGTTGGTGTTATTAAAGGTACAGACATGTCTTTAATTTCAAGGTCAGCTGTCATAAGGATTGCTATAATGAAGTTTTTTTAACAATGCCCAGTTCATTCACTTAACCCGTTATGTCCAAGAATGCAGTGCAGAGAGTACTTAAGTAGTGTTTGTGGTTTGTTATTTTTTGTGTGTGTGTGATTTTCTTACACAAGCAAGTCTGTAAAGGGGATTATTCACTAAAGTATGAATTGTCATTATTTAAAGTAAATTTCAGATTTTATTCTAAAATAGCCAAAGTGGAGAAAAACTGTCCAATTCAGCTGGTTTTGACTTTTTCTGCTTTGATTTTAAATATGGAATTAAGTTTGAATTTGTTTTAAATCAAGATAATTAACACATTAGTCAATTAATCTTTGCTGTACATTTCCATGCATTCCACTCCCTGTTAGTTCTTTGTATAGATCACCTTTACACCCAATTCTATCTTTGAAATCTTTCATTTTGCAAACATGCCATACATTACTCATCTCATATAATCAATATGCCTTGTCTTTTTGTAGGCCTTCATAAGACGGTGTTTAGCGTACAGAAAAGAGGATCGGTTTGATGTTCATCAGTTAGCGAATGACCCGTACCTTCTCCCTCACATGAGAAGATCTAATTCTTCAGGAAACCTGCACATGTCTGGCCTAGTGGCATCTCCGACACCCCCTCCATCAAGCATCGTTTCATACTGATAGTGAAATCACGGCTGGCATGAATATTCGGCACTAGGCTTTCAGGGGCAAAATTTAGTTCAAAGACAAAATAAATTAATTTAACAAAGAAGAAGAAAGTAGTTGTTGGGGTTTGTTTTTTTTTTTTTTTTTTTTCAATCGAAAGTTTTAAAAGAAATTTGATGGCGGAGGGGGGGGGGTTTGTTTTTGTTTCTTTGTGGGGGGGGGAGGGGTGGAGAAAAGGGAGGTCATTCTCCAAAGTGTTATATGTATGGTAAGAGAGCAAAGACTGTGAAAACAAATATATCCGTTGACTAAAATGTTCTAAAGGAATGGATTCCGTTCATTGCGTTTGGATATCTTCTGGTTTCTGGAATTGAGCTATCACCAGGATTTGAAGGGTCTTTGAAGCTTGTTGAGTGGTTGTAGAGCATTAAAACAATCCATTCACAGAGCTGCATGTAAATTGGTATATGAAGAAAATTGAATTTACTGATGGCATCCACTTCATCCGTTAATAACAACATATACAGATACATTTCAATTGGTGCAAAAGGAGGAGACACATCAAATCTGAAACCTTTCTTGTTCTTGTAGCAACTTATGTTACCCATCAGGAATCTTAAACCTTTGGCACTGGAGATGTTGGGGACTAATATCCTATGATGGTCATGTAAAGTTTAACCTTACAGATCTTAGTTGCGCTCTACATCCACGTTGAAACAAGTCCTTTGAAGTTACTGAAGAACATGTATGATCGTGCAAGGCCATTATCAATAAAAACACGATTGCACACAAAACCAGGCTTGCTTTACGTTCAAGTTGGTCTAACTTTTTCCCTTTTTTTTTTTTTTTTAAACTTTTTTGTTGTTGATTTTGCCCTCCCCTAGTTGGGACATTGTAAATACTCTTTGTAATACTGAAAACATAATTGGTTGATACTGGAGAGTTTTAGCATGAAGGGCATTTTTCATTATAAAAATAAATAAATAAAATAAAAAATAATAATAATTATGATTATGTACCACAATTGACTTGCATACATCGGGATCATGCACTGCCCACAGGCTCTTAACATCTGTTTATTTAAACCAAAGCAAATAGAAAAACGTTCACAGATTGTGTCAAATGCTATACGAATTCCTGGTTGTTGGTTTTGTTCACGTTTCATTGTGAAGTCTGGCTTGGCTGTTATCGGTAAAACACATATATTTTGGATTTTAGTTCTGTATGGGATCATTCCACCATTAACATATTTTTTTTTTTCTTTTTAAATATATCTTTATTGAAAGACACTTCTACAGTAGGTACCAAATGCAGTTGAACCCTTCTATGAAAAGGTCTATGCAGGTTAATGATAAATTCCCTTCTAGTGCTAATGTATATTGTTGTACAGAAGTCATTTTCAGTTATTCATGTGTTGTCAGCAGCTATTATTTTTTTCTTGTACAAATGTTTAAAGTATGGCTTTTTCTAAGTTGAAAATTGAATTTTTATTTTTATTTTTTAACGTCTCCTTTGATGGCGCTATTATTTGCTGCTAAATAACATTGCTTTTACTTCTGCAGAACAATAGAATTTTGTCCTTTTTTCAAGAAATATTAAAAAAGGCAAGTTGGGTAATGTTGTATACAAACTGGGATTTTTCATTAACTTTCAAGCATGTGTAAAACATACAGTACTGTAGATCCCTCTATGTTCTATTTACTAGGGTGCGTTGTTTTGTTAAGGAGACTTTTTTTGGTTATTTTTCTCACTCAAATGATCCTCTGTGCAGGTAGACATTGTAAAAATTATATGTGTGTGTGTGTGTATATATATATATGTATATACACACACATTTCTCATGGCTTAACATGCTTAGAATATTTTTTTTTTGGACAGCCTAAATTAAGCTTGATAATTTTTTTTAGGATGTTTTCCTTTGCTACAAGGAGACCCACCAGTGTCAGAATAGGCAGCAAAGCACCATTTTGCACTAATTTGCATATTTCTGTCACGTTAAAGGGGTGGGTCCTTTAAACTGTCACATTCACAATAAACTGTGTAATTTTGTTCATGTTACAAAAAAAGAAGTTGTATCAACGCAGGTTATCATTTAATATTGTACAGTTAGCTGCGGCTCTTGTTTCCAATGTTGCAAGCTATTTCATTTTTCCATTGTACATAAATATACATTAACTGTCTCTTTAAGATGCTGCTGAAATTGTAGAGAATGTAGCCAAAACCGTAATAAACAATGAAAGTTGAAATTTCAAATAATCTTTCTCTGTTTGTTTTTTTTTTTAAATATATTTATAGTAGGATAACAAGTGAAATAGTCCCTGAGTAACTAAGAAAGGTGTACTAAAACAAATAACCAATGTCTGCCTGTTTGTTTGTTGCCATGCATGTACTATACACCATAATTTTTAGGGGAAAAGAAGAAAAATAAATCTTTTTGGAAAGTTTTCACCGAACGTGCGTGTATGATGAGTATATTTAAAAAACAAAATTTAAAAAAAAAAAACTTAGAGGACATAAACTTAGTGGCGTCACATGCAGCCTCAGTTGTGGTTCACTTACACAGACGTATGCAGGAAGTAAATGCAAACCATTTCTCATAATCAGGAGACCGCATGATTCCACGGTCAGAACATTCCCCTTTTAGGTTCTCACAATCTACCTTTTATTTTCCTTACCTTATTCCCACTTTTTTCTCTCTTGCTTCACTAACCATTTTTTTATTTAAATTGCCTCTTTCTCCTGATTGGAAAAAAAAAAAAAAAACTGGGACAGCTTGACAGGGAATCCAAAATTTGAACAATCATTGAACTATTGTGAGTGCTAATGCATTGTGATGATGGTACACAGGTAGTGAGAACATAGACTTTGTTTTATTGCCACTTTGTATGAGAAACAAGTGAATAATCTTGCATGGTGATGACAATTAAAGGGTTACTCCAGCCCTTTTTGTTGTTGTTGTGAAAACTTACTTGATAAAACACAAACACGCTTTTTAAAAAAACAAAGTTTTTATTATTTATCCAAAGCCCAACCGAGTTCTCGCAGCATCTGCATCTGATGTTACAAAAGATGTGCAGAGGTCCAATCAAAGCCTTCTCGCGGACTATTTTACTGGCTCAGAGCCAATACGTGCCCTGTAAGCTAACAAAAGGGGGTGAGGGAAATAAAGGAGGAGGGAGGGCAGAGAATTAAAAGAGAGGGGAGCACAGCATGCACTGCTAGCTGATGACCGAGAGTTGTTATGCACAGAATTGACATTAAGTGTCCAGAGCAGAGTTCTGGGCTACCAAAGTCACATGTACAACTTGCCACCAGAACACCGTTGTCAATATTTCTGGTTTTGCAGTGTTTCAAGCTGAAACTCTGCACATTCAGACTCCTACCTCCATGACTACTTCAAAAAGCAGAAGTGGGAATGGTGTTGATTTAAAAAAACACAAATTACATATGTATGCACAGCAGTGCAATAAATGGCTCTGGTAAGAATAAAGGCATTTATATTCTATGGAACTGGTTCTGGCAACTTGGATAAATTTTCAAACCAATTGTTGCTGTTAACCTAAATGGAATCACTAACTCTTATCTGCAGGATTTTTCTAGGGCTGCCCCATTCCTGTGGAATTCCCTACTTTATGCCATCAGACTCTTCACTAGCCTTCAGCCTTTTTAAGAAGGCACTGAAAACACACTTCTTAAGGAAAGCTTACCATCTTCTTGGGTGACGCTTCTTATTTCAGCTGCCCTACACCGTTTCCTCTCCTCCACAGCTCAGCCTGGCTCTTCCACACTGCTTTTCCACTAATTTCCACTTATTTTAAAACCGGCATCTTATTCATCAATCCCATCTCCCCTCTCATATGCTTCCTCTTCTGTTTTTTCTACCCCTTCCTCATGCAGTGGGAATCAAAATTATTCAACACTAATTAAAAATCAGGTTTATTGTCAAAACAGACTTTCGGCTCTTTGCAATGAACACATCAAACAAAAGCAATTGATATAGCTCGCCACAACAAATGCTTTTCAAGTGGTTTCCCCAAATTCAACTGAAAATGCAACTTCTAATGACTTCTCCAGTCCCTTCATGGCAAGCATCCATAGTACTTAGTAGAGCACCCTTTTGCTGATCTGACATGCTGCAAATGAGATGCATAGGCAGACACCAACTTCTGGCAGCATTCATGAGGAATCTTAGCCTATTGCTCATGAGCAATGGCCTCTATTTCAGTAATATTCTTGGTTTTACGTTCTGCGCTAAACCCGACTTCTTACAATCTCACCAGAGATTTTCTATGGAGTTCAAGTCAAGTGACTGTAATGGCCACTGTAGAATTTTCCAGGACTTCTTTTGCAACCAAGTCTTGGTGGAATTTGAGGTAAGCTTGCGATCATTGTATTGTTGGAAGGTCCAATGATGTCCAAGCTTCAGATTCCTCACGGACGACATGATTTTTTTTCTCCTAGAATTTGCTGATATTTAAATGAATCCATTGCATTCCACACACTGCAGCACCGAGCCACTACCATGCATAGCTGTAGGCAGTGTTCTTTTCAGTGTATGGTTCATTCTTTTTCCTCCATACACACCGCTGATCCATTGGGCCGAAAAGTTCCAGTTTTGTTTCATCGCTCCACAGAACAGAATTCCAAAACCTCTGTGCCTTATTTATATGATTTTTTGCATATTGGAAACAACTTTACTTGTGCTTTTGGGTCAGTAGTGTATGTATGTCTTGGAGCTCTGGCATTGAAACCTTCTGCCTTTAATATGCACCTTACTGCTCACTGAAACCTCAGTGCCTGTTGCCACCAAGTCTTGTTGAAGATCTTTTGCAGTCACTCAAGGGTTTTCTCAACCTGCCTTCTCAGAAATCTGGTTGCAGCCATTGATTGGTTCCTTTTTCTGCCTCGTCCAGATAGTGTAACTATTGTTTCTTCAACTTTGAACTTGCGAACTATGTTTCTAACAGTGTATCTAGCAACATTCAGTGCATTCACTATCTTTTTTTTTTTTATTCTTTTTTTTTTTTGCTCCGATAGACAAGCAATGATACAGTGACATAGGTTTAGATGAGGCTGTGGTAACATAATGACAAGTTACAGGTTACAGAAAGCAAATTTAAGCCGTTAGTACAGTCATTAGGTGTACAGTGTGCGACCTAGTTGCGGTTGTCATCAGGATTTTTCTTTTATGTTGTCAAATACAACTATATACAATGGCAGTATGTTTGAGGAGTATATTGTGTTGGCTGGTTACCGCGATAAGGCTCACAATCAGCGAGAACAGTAGTTTCAAGTTCACTGAAAACAGTAGTGGGACAGGTACTGCACCTAGTACAAGCAGCAAGCTTTTGAAAGGTTTGTGCCAATTTATATCTGTCCCCTTAAGCAGTTTGTTTTTCCTATCTGTGCTCTAGCTTTCCTCTCCTCCTGCCAGGTTGCAAGGCTAGTGTGCTTGCGTAGTGCATAGGGTGGATAGAAAAGGAAAGATGTAAAGTGTAAGATAAGGTAACGAAAGAAATCTTGCACTAGTGAAATGGGGTGAGCTCTCGATGGCCAAAGACTAGCGTTTATCAGTCGTGGTAGGCTGCGCCCTGTGTCTTGGCGTTAACTAGGTACCCTTTCGTTGGTGGTGTCTCTGCCACCCGTCAGGGTTCTGGTATGTCTATGGCAGTGGAGTGGGTCCCAGCTATCTCCGTCGATGAGTATTTTTTGGATGCCGCTCCGCGCCCCGGCCCGGGTTCTTTGTGTCGTATTGCTCCAACAGATCCCATACCTTGTGGAAAGCTGTCAGCGTGTTCCTCACTTGAGCGGTAAGTTTATCCATTAAGTAGTAATCTCTCAATTTTGCCCAAACCAGGGATGTCTGTGGGAGATCCGGGCAAGACCATTTTTGGGCTAAGGCCCTGCGGGCCGCCAGATAAATCATGTTGAGTAGTTTTTGCTCATATTTGGAGAGACCCTCTGTTGGTCTCGACAGTAGGCACGCCCAAGGATCCAGGGCCAACCGTTTTTGTAAAATTTGTGAGCCTAAGTCGACTATTTCATGCCAGTACTCCGAGACCCTCGGGCATTCCCTCCACATATGAATATATGTGCCTCTCCCCCCGCATAGATGCCAGCAGTCGTCAGTAGGGCTTAGTTTCATGTTTTTTTTGTTTCACTGGGGTCGTGTACCATCTGAATAGTGTTTTGTATGATTGCTCCTGGAGCGTTATGCGTATTGTGGTTTTGGCACATGCTTCCCAAATGTCCTGCCTCTCTGCTCCTTCTAGCACCTCCCCCAGGTCGGCCTCCCACCAGTCAGTGTATCGCAGCACTCCCTCCCGGTCTGGGGCTGTGTTATGGTGGTTGTACAGTAGGGTAATAAGCTTGGATTGTGTGGTTTCAGTGTAGCACAGTTTTTCAAAGAAGGTCATTGGTGTTAGGGCTGCCGTCTTTACTTCGGGTCTCTGTGCAAAGTCTCGGATTTGTAGGTACCTGAAGTAATCTCTTGTTCTAAGGGTGGCTTTAGTACTCAAGTGTGTGTATGTGACTATGTCTTGGTTAACATAAGGGTGGATGTATCGTTGTAGCCCTGTGGCCTCTATCCCTTTGTAGTCTTGGGCTCTCATTCTCAGGAGAAACGCCCTATTCCTGAAAACTGGTACCATAGGGGATAGGGGGAGCTTAGTGAGTACTTCGTTGTAGTTTGGTCCCATATCTGTATGGAGTTGAGAATGGCTGGGTTTGTGGTTCTTAGAATGGCTCTTTGTGGTCTAGGTACCCAGATGAAGAACTGCGGGAGGTCCATTCCCGTCATCAACGATTCTATGTCTACCCAGCGTCTCCTATCTGGGGGTGTGTGCCATTGTATAACTTGGGTCAACTGCGCCGCTAAGTAGTAGTTATATATATTAGGTAGTCCCAGTCCCCCTCTAGGTTTTGGTCTATACATGAGGGTCCGCGCTAGTCTCGGGCGCTTAGTGTGCCAAATGAAGGAGTCTATTGCCCGCTGTAGGCCCGTCAGATCCCCTCGGGATACTTTCACCGGGAGTGCCTGAAAGAGGAACAGGAGCCTCGGCAGCACATTCATTTTTATAGAGTGTACACGGCCCAGCCAGGATATAGGCCTGTCTGTCCACTGTTCCAGCTCTTTGGTGAGGGTCTGCAGCAGGGGTTGATAGTTGCAGGCGTAAAGGGATGATGGGTTTGCCGTTAAGCGTATCCCTAGGTACATAAACTCTTCCGTGTTTATCTTTAATCGGTGTTGACTGTGTATTCGCTCCATGTCTGGGGTTGCTAAATGAAAAGGCATCGCCACCGATTTGGTGTAGTTTATCTTGTAGCCTGCTAGA